GGTTGGTTACCCACACTGGTCGGATACCTACATAGGTTGTTTACCCACAGAGGTCGGATACTCAGATAGGTTGGTTGCCCACAGAGGTCGGATACCCACATAGGTTGTTTACCCACAGAGGTCGGATACCCACATAGGTTGTTTACCCAAAGAGGTCGGATACCCAAATAGGTTGGTTGCCCACAGAGGTTGGATACCCAAATAGGTTGGTTGCCCACAGAGGTCGGATACCCAAATAGGTTGGTTGCCCACAGAGGTCAGATACTCACATAGGTTGGTTACCCACAGAGGTCGGATACCCACATAGGTTGGTTGCCCACAGAGGTCGGACACCCACATAGGTTGTTTACCCACAGAGGTCGGATACCCAAATAGGTTGGTTGCCCACAGAGGTTGGATACCCAAATAGGTTGGTTGCCCACAGAGGTCGGATACCCAAATAGGTTGGTTGCCCACAGAGGTCGGATACTCACATAGGTTGGTTACCCACAGAGGTCAGATACTCACATAGGTTGGTTACCCACAGAGGTCGGATACCCACATAGGTTGGTTGCCCACAGAGGTCGGATGTCCACAATGGTCGGATGCCTCAGTGTTCTCTACACTTTAATCTTTTTTTTTTTCTCCTTCTAATTCTTCTCTCTGAAGATTAATTATAAACAGGACTTGCTGGGAGCAGGGGTTAAAGTGACAAATTGTGCAGCAATGAAAAATATGGTCGGGACATCATAAGTTAAAAAACCGGCATCTGATGTAAAAGCAATCAGTCAACGCTATCTCTGCTAGAGTTAAACGAATTGTTGTGTGATGAACTTTAGACGCAAAGAAAGGGCTGTTTGAACAATACTAAAGACAACTGGCAAAATATAACTAAACTTGCAACAAGCCCCAATCTAACAGCTACACAGCCTGGCTCGCCAGCGCGACCATCGGGTGACGAAATTCTTGTGGTCCGGGTTCATTCCCGGAGGTAGGCAGAAAAGCCGCATTGCTCCCAGATTTACAGTATTTATCATGGAATCAAGGCCGAAGGGTTGCGATATCCATAGTACCAAGCCAAAGGGTAAACAACTTATGGTTTCTGGATACTTGAAAAAAAAAAAACTACACAATAGAAAGCACACACAAGACCACCATATACCAAGCACAGTCAGTTGATGGAGTCAGGAACAGGCTTTGAGATAAAAGGGAGTAATAAGGAGTGAACTGTTAGACAGGTACAAGTTAACAGCCGTGCAAGAGATAGGACGTCAAGGCATCTCTGTTGGGACCAGGTAATGGCTACAGAGCAACACGTCTGTGCTGTGCTGGGAGGGAAACATGTATGGGGGAGAAGGAGGAAAACTGTGTGTATTAATAACTTCACAAAGAAGCTTGTGCATCCCTGCTGCACTTTGGTGTCTGCTTCGCCTTACCCAACTGTTGTAAACAACAGAGGGAGAAACAGTTAGAACGCAGGTTTTCACACTTTATAAATCTTTCCGCGGGTAATTTTTACGAAACGAGCTTTGTTGCTCTATGATATTTTAGTCTCTCTTTATCTCTCTCTCTGTCTCTCTCTCTCTCTCTCTCTCTATCTATATATATATATATATATATATATATATATATATATATATATAATATATATATATATATTATATATATATATATATATATATATAAATATAATCTGTTTTTTTTTTTAATTTACATATCTAATTTTCTGGCTACCCATCCAAATTTGTATCACTCTCTCTTTCTCTTCATATTTATTAACATATCTAATTAGCAAGCAATCTTGATATTCCCCCATCCCAAACTCTCTCTTTTCCCTCCTAGTCTCTCTATCTTTATTAACATACCTTTCTCTCTCCGATGCCTCTTATCTCTCCATGTTTATTTACCTACCTATCTCTCTCTCATCCCTCTTATCTCTCCATATTTATTTACCTACTTAGCTATCACTCTCCCATCCCCCTTTCTCTCTCCATCTGTATTTACCTACTTAGCCATCTATCCCTTCTCCCACTTATCTAATTACATAAGTAATCTCTTTATCGCCCCCCCCCCCACTCACTCTCTCTCTCTCTCTCTTTATCTTTATTTACCTAACTATCTAACTACTCAGCTAACCATTAGCTTATTCATCTATCCACCCACCCATCTCTCTCTCTTTCTCTCTCTCATGCATAGAAATACACACACACAGACACACACTTTAAAAGGAAAACTCAATTGTGTGATCCCTAGACCCATATTTCTATTACCTGACTAAAGTTACAGACCTAGTAAGCTGAAATTCTCTGGGAAGAAAAGGTAGTGACAAAAGAAACTGCTCACCCAAGTTCATGGTGCCATAGCCTAAAATATGTGAAGGTCGAAAACTTCACAGCCCAGCAGAAGTAGCTGTCATAGGACCATTTCCACCACAAAACTGTCGTTACCACCTATATTTACCACTGATAAGGTGTAGGCAGGGGGATCTTTGAGCATGAGAATTGTGGGCCCCATGGCTAGTGCTGTCACCCAAGACTGTGAAGGTTAGAATTTGTTTTTGACCCCCCCCCCCCCCCACCCCCCCCCCCCCCCCCCCCCACCCTTTGTTTCCCCCCAAAAAGAAAAAAAAACATGAGCTTACTGAGGATTCAAACCTGCGAGATGTGACAATAGTATTCATTTACTATGTGTGAAGGATGAGGACAGACACTAAACTCAAGTAACTACATACAATCTCATCAAATGTCAATACTAGGAAATATAGGGTGTTTGTAAAGTCTTTATATATTATACTTTGTGTGCAGAACCAACATGAAACATTAAATACATGATGAAATCAAAAGATATGCTTTAAAAAATGTCATTAAATTAGTTACAACAGGTGCTATCGTCTAAAGCTGTTTTGTGGAAACTGGAAAGTACAAATGAAATATTCATTATAACGGGTGTTGGAAATTATCACCATGGGCTTCAAGACATGACCATGTTTGCGTATTCACCATTTCAAAACGTCTGTTCAACCACAAGCAAATTCTCTCCTCCTTTGATAACACCATTATGTTTTAAGTGAACAGAATTACTCCAGCAGACTACAGTCATTCACTGCATATTGCTTCATGAATCAATGAGCAGCACATTTTGTTTAGGAATTTTTTTTCAGATTTGTTTTGCGTAAAAGTGCAGTGAGACTTTACAAACATCCTGTATCACTGACGAACTGTATGGTACACAAGAAGATATGGATTACACGATAGTTTTCATAAAGGCTACCGGCCTCCTGATATAAGTTTTCCAACAGAAGGATCGAAGAAGAAGAAGAAAAGAAGACTGACGAACTCTATTAGACTAATGCCAAGCCTAATGTCTGATATACTCTCCTTCATGACTCTTACATCATCGCAGCAAGAGTACAAAAACAGGAAGAAGAAGTTAACCATGTTCAGCTCTTTCAGTACCAAGCAGGTGATGTTTTAACTCCTCATAACCTAACCATCAGTTTGCTGGCAGCTTTCCATCTTCCAAGACAACAGTATTATACTGTGCTATAGGGAGGTATATTAACCACATCCCATCCTCTCCCCAGAAAAAAAGCATAGGCAGTAATGTAGAGATCAAATGTTGCCTACACAACATGATTCCTCCCTCGGCCTGCTTATAACTATTTGAGTCCCAAGGATCGCATCATGCACTAATTTTTTACTACCCAGCCGCCAAGTCGACACATAACAGTTTGTAATTTACCACTGACCAGTGTTAAAACACAAACAACACAATTGAAACTTCCTCTCCAGTTCTTTCTGTTCGATATCACACATGTTGACCATCAGCTTTTGTTTGGAAACGTGGTTAAAAGCCTAAAATATAGTACGTTTTGTGAGGTTTACAGAGTTACTAAGTGTTTGTTCTGAAAACAATCTGGCAACCGGGCAGTATTCCAGGTGCATGCAAGCATGATTTATGGCTTTAGAAGACTCAAAGTAAAAAAAAAATAAACATCTTTTAATCAGATTTTTTTTGAAGTTAGATGGAGAAAGTGGTAAAGTAGACTTGTTTCAGCCATTGATAGTGTTAAACTTTGATGAGGGATAACCTTATGCAGAGTGTACAACTATTTTAAAAAAAGTCACCTGATACAAAAAGAAAAAAATTAGTGGAAATGGCGATTTCTTTTTCACTGTCAGTTATTTTGCTATTCCCTTTATTATTTAGGGTTATACAGGCAAAATGAGTGTTAAATAAACTTTGTTTTGTCAGAAGATGCTAACTGCTTGAGAATTCAATTTTCTTTACTAAATAATGGTGCTCTGTTATGATGCAACTAAATTTTCTCTGGAACAAGATTTTATATACAGAATGAGTTTATATTTTACTTAAAAAATTCTATGTAGTTCATGTTTATTTGTCATTCATTCTATATTTTATCAAGTTTTCCTTGAGCGCCATGGTGGTAAGTAGAAAAATTATTAGTTCAGTTTGCTAATTTCTGTAAACATTCTGTCTATTTATTTACTAATATTTTACTAACACAATTATTTCTTGTAGCAGTATTTTATTATTATTATTATTCCCAAACAATCCCTGGTCACTTTGATGAATAATATGTGTATGTTGCACAGCAGCTAAACTAATATAGTATATTTCAAAGACTTATGACACAGACACATTGCATTTCCAGCCCTTGGACCTCTGATGCTAAACCTCCTGGGACTCAAAGAGATAAACAAAAAGGTAACACCAATATGTTTGGGGGAAAAGCATGCTGCAAAAGGTATCATCAGTGGAAGACTTGGTGTGACATGGCTTTTTATTATAATGGAAAACTGCTGTGACTCTTGTGATCTCACAGCATGCAATGCTCGTGTCCTCAACAAGATCAGTGCACTAATTAGAATTACTATTCCTCTCCTCCCCCCCCCCCCCATATTATTATATCACACATATATTATTATATTTCTCCAATATATTATTTTACACATGATCATGAGATCCAAGCGAGGAGGAAAACAACAGTCTCAACTGACCTTTATTTTTATCGTTAGTTCTTCAGTTGCTGCTAAAGCATTCTCATCTGTCAGTGAGATGAAGCGAATCTTATCCAGAGCATCTGAAGCATTCGAAATTAACTCCCTCAAGAAAATCTGCAGATAACAAAAGAACAAAATGATAGTGACGTCATCAATGTTAACAGAATATGCAAGAAAACACAAATTATGCACTCACAAAAAAACAAACAACAAAAAAACGCTAGCATCCCACCTTACGGAATAAAAAAATTCTGATCAGCACAAAGAAACATCTCATGCAAAGCATATTCATTCCCATTCTATGTTACCAGTGCTAGACTCGGTCACTCAAAATAACTCAACTCCCCCCCCCCCCCCCCCCCCCCCCCAAAAAAAAAAAATTAGTGTCAATGAAAATGAGACATCTGAGAGAGTCTACAGGAGTGATTAGAAGAGATAAAATCAGAAGAGGTCATCAATTTACACACACACTACATTCACACACACACATTACATTCACACAGACACTACATTTGTGCACACATGCACATAGAGACATTCACACACAGAGAGACACTACATTCACACACATACAGACACTCAGTCACACACACACACACTACATTCACACACACACACACAAGCACACACACACGCACACAGAAACTGCACTCACACACACTGAGAAACTAAATTCACACACACACAAAGAGACAAGTCACCTCTTTATTCTTGTACAATGAGTTGATTATGAGCTTCATCATGCGATTGACCTCAGCCTGGAATGCAAATTTTTCAGACTTCTCTCGAAGCTCTTTCATCTGTGCTACACTCAGTCCATCCAGACTGATAGCTTCCTCTTCCCTGTGGAGGATATCAATTATAGTGACACTGCCTCCTTCATGTTCTAAATAAACATGTCAGTGAATACTTTATAACCATTCTTTTTATTTTTCTTAGCAGTCATCGGTTGTAAACTCCAGTGTAAAATTCTGGCTGGCTGTCCATTTCTCTACTTTAGTCTTGCTCCAGAACTTGAGTGTTGCATGCACATATGTTTCACATATGTGACTTATCTGTAGGAAGACTGCTGGTTCTTTGTCTCTTAGGCAGACACAACTAGTCTTTGACAGAAACACCTCTAATTATGAAGCAAATATGCAGCCTAACCGACATCACCCCTGGTGAAGAGTGGATACCTGTGCCTCATGCATTTATCTGTAAATTTTCCTGTAATGCCACACTCAATAGGCGATGCAGGGAGCAGAATCCTGTTGCTGTCAATGCAGATGTTAATGCTTTCATCAGTGAAAATTCAGACCAGGCAGGCTTACTAATATAATCAACATAGAACTTGTACTATACGCCACCGAATGCTGGGGTTCATATTGAGGGAAGAATCTGAGCACCTATGGACATGCCCGGAGTGCAAAGATAATAACCCAACTATCTACCTAACTAACTAACCCCTAATTAGTTGCTGTTTATGACATTCTTGTTAGGGGGCAGTGGGTCTATTCCCCCAACCACCCACCCACAAATTGGCCACACAGCCTAAACAGAGACTCTATAACCACTTTTTCACCATTACAGAACCTATTAATGAAACGGTGATAAGCAATGGTTCAGTAAACACCACATATTTGTGGATAGAGAAATGGATCATGCAGACAGTGTTGACAAAATTCTTGCTGAGGTTGTTCACAATGGAGCTAAAGCAACACTTCCTGGAAGTCATGAAGGACATCTCTGATTACCAAAGCTTGCCTAGAAATTAACAAGTATCCCACTGTAGCATGTTATTGACAATTCTTGTGACCAACAGGAATGTGTTTTGGCTAGGTTGTAGTTGTAATTTGTATTGGATGGTGTTTGACAAAGTTATGCAGTCTTGTAGCATTGTTGTGTGGGTTAGGATTGTTCAAGCAGATTCCATTAAAGCAGCTATTTAAGTTGTAATGCACTGGTTGTGGTGTTACCATCTGCCAGCTCACATTTCGCCATTCACTCTGTGTGCACCTCAGGATCCTCATATCGGGACCAGAGACTTTGAATAGCGCTGTACCAGAGTAGTGTGGGTTTGTGCCCAGTGCTTATCCACAGGAATGGAAAGGCGTGACTAGTGAGTTGTAAAGCTAGAACAGTCTGTGTTTAGGATAGGGGCACCTACAGCTCTTGAGGCTAACTTCCACAGGTTTAATGATCTTTGTAAAATAAAGATTTTGTGTGTGCTCCAGGGGTGTTCGACTTGGTGTGTTTTTGGGTAGACTTATTTGTTACCGGCCTGCAACATGAGCCATATGTCACACATATGAAAGAAGGCTGTTGAAATCCACAATGTGTAGGAGATATTCTGACCACTCACCCACTGGCTTAAACAACAAAGACCAAAGGGCTCTTTTTATGCCTCGCAGCATGATGTGTATATATGTTGCCATATTCTGATAGACTTTGCCATGGTAATCATGTTACTGATACTGAATTTTTATCGGATAGATGTACAACTCGACGATGTGGTTTATGCATATCAGCAAAAAAAAGGATTCATTATCTGCTTCATTATAAGTTGATTAAAGTCTATAGTAATGCACCTAACGAGGGTGTAATTTATTGTTTGTGTCCACATTATTTAAATTTATAATGGGAAAACACTGTTTTGAATATTCTGATAGATAAATTTACACTTCACAGATTATATGGTCAAAATCAAATCCCATAGAAAATTTCCAAATATTCACTTTATGCACGATGCATTTGTTGGTTTTTACTTACTTTACACATTATTATGAGCTCTTTATGTCACACGCAGTTATTGCACTAACAACAAACACTGCTCCAGTTGTTACTTTAACCTTTTAGTTCTAAGAATGCTAAAAGAATATGAATGAATATGTGGGCATTTTCGGGGGGAAAACCTTTAAAAAACAGATATTTTACACAGCTAACTAATTATTGGTTTTTAAAAGTTATTAATCCACATTTTTTAAATTACTGTTTTAAAATGGAATGCCTTCCCCAGTGCTGAAAACAAATATGTATCAGGTGACTTAAGTGACAATGTTAAGACCTGCCTTAACAAGCAATTAGATTAACAAGGAAACCGCTCTAAATGCTATACTCAGTTAATATATTCCCATCCCGGCCACCTAAACTCTGTGCTTTGCTTTACAACTCAAAATCTCAAAATGGACGCTAGGCACGGCCACTGTTTTGAGTTGTGGCAAATATTTTGCTTCTGCCAGACGGTGGTCGTTGCATTTTTGCTCCATTTGTAGACTGAAAGGATATAGATTTGTCGTCCAGGTTTTGAGTTTAGTGCATGGCATGACACTGTGAGCTGCAGATTTCATTTGGAATGTTTTTCGACTGTGACCAAAGTAGTGGTGTGAGTTGAAGATTCAGAAAATGGCGCGATGCCTGTTGTCGCAATATTGGTGGTGCCATTACGTGATTAAAACAGATCGCGTGTGCAACTGCTGATATGTTGGTGACTTCTGCTACGATCCATGATGAACTGCATTTCTAATGTCAGAGTGTTTGTGTTAGCACTTCGGATGGCTACTATATGCTTTTAATGCGTGTGTATGCTAGATATGCTGAAACAGCAGTCTGTTAATCTTTCCACAAGGGACTGTGATAAACATTCTGTGCGTTTTTCGTTAACACAGGAGCGGAGCAACTATGGGGTGACCCGTTTGCTATGAAGCTGAAACTAAGATTACCAGATTACCAGATTACTGTGCTGGGCAAACAGAACCAATGGCATTTAACGACACGTTTCGAGAACATGTCATTACAGAAATGGCAGTGATTAGAAACCTACACAAGTCTGACACATGATCGGACCTTCTGACCCACTCCTCCCAAGGTGAACACAAATGAAGAAACAATAAACTATTTAGGACTTCATTACCTTTGTACAGCTTCATCATCAGTCCTTGATGCTTCCCTGCTCTTTCCAATATCCCTGTCAATGGTAACATCATCCTCTTCATCTACTGCTGCTGCAGCTGCAATTAGTAAACATAAAATTAAAAAAAAAAAAAATCAAATGCAATACTTTTACCAGACAAACAAGCAAAAGTGAAAACATAATTTTTACAAAAAGGTCCCTTTTCAAAGCCATGAGATGCTCCAGATATTTGGTACTAGTCCAATTTTTTTGTAGAACTACTGACAGTCAACGAGAGATGTGGTCAATATCCTGCTGGTTGTCTTTATTTTCCAGAAATTTCTGGGTGCACATATTTCAGTTCAGTCATCATGAAGGAGCACGTCAATTTTAAGCATCTGCCTAGACATGTAATTGGAAAAAATGAAAAAAAAAATGACCCGCTCAGGCCACAAGTTTCATCCCACTAGGAATTCTGATCCTTGAGAGCAATTTATTTTTAAAACATGTTGAAGAGGTATAGAAAGGCTGGTTTCAAAAAGAGCAAAAAGTAAATGCCAGCGCTTACAAAACAAACAAACAACTCTCGAATTTTGTATTTGACAAATAGATGTCAAGGCCAAGTAATTCAGTCCAAGAATCCAGTCCAGCCCCTTTCTCATCAACTTTAATTTTATCTTCGGCCTTTCTCATCAATGTTTATTTACCTTTGGCCTCTCTCATTAACGTTTATTTACCTTTGGCCTCTCTCATTACCGTTTATTTACCTTTGGCCTTTCTTATCAAAGTTCATTTACTTTTGGCCTCTCTCATCAACTTTTATTTACCTTTGGCCTCACTCCTCAACATTCATTTTCTTTGGCCTTTCTTATCAATGTTCATTTACTTTTGGCCTCTCTCATCAACTTTTATTTACCTTTGGCCTTGCTCATCAACATTTATTTACCTTTGGCTTTGCTGATTAACATTCTTTATATTTAGTTTCTCTGATCAATGTTAATTTTTTTCTTTTTCCTCTCTCATCAGCGTTCATTTTAACTTAACCTCTTTCATTAACATTCATTATACCTTTAACCTCTCTCATCAATGTTCGTTTCAAGGTTTCTTTTAGATGTCCTTACTTCCTTAATACCTGTATTTCCCATTTTAATGCCTTTGGGGATTCTTTGCTCGGTAATATTCCGGGTATGTCCGTTTTAGCACCATAAAAATGAACAAAACATACCTTTTTGTTGCTGCAACGTGTTTGCCTACAATGTACAGTTCTGTCACCCTGAAGTGTACAGTTATCTGCCTACATCTCTGCCTACAATGTACAGTTATCTGTTGCTGTGATGTCTCTGCCTGCAATGTACAGCTATTTGTTACTGTGACGCCTCTCCCTACAGTGTAGTTATCTGTTGCTGTGACGTCTCTCCCTGCAGTGTAGTTATCTGTTGCTGTGACATCTCTGCCTACAGTGTAGTTATCTGTTCCTGTGACATCTCTGCCTACAGTGTTCAGTTATCTGTTGTTGTGACATCTCTTCCTACAGTGTACATTTATCTGTTGCTGTGACATCTCTGCCTACAGTGTACATTTATCTGTTGCTGTGACATCTCTGCCTACAGTGTTCAGTTATCTGTTGCTGTGACATCTCTGCCTACAGTGTACATTTATATGTTGCTGTGACATCTCTGCCTACAGTGTTCAGTTATCTGTTGCTGTGATATCTCTGCCTACAGTGTACAGTTATCTGTTGCTGTGACATCTCTGCCTACAGTGTACAGTTATCTGTTGCTGTGACATCTCTTCTTACAGTGTACAGTTATCTGTTGCTGTGACATCTCTGCCTAGTGTACAGTTATATGTTGCTGTGACATCTCTGCCTAGTGTACAGTTATATGTTGCTGTGACATATCTTCCTACAGTGTAAAGTTATATGTTGCTGTGACATCTCTGCCTAGTGTACAGTTATATGTTGCTGTGACATCTCTGCCTAGTGTACAGTTATCTGTTGCTGTGACATCTCTGCCTAGTGTACAGTTATATGTTGCTGTGACATCTCTGCCTAATGTACAGTTATATGTTGCTGTGACATATCTTCCTACAGTGTAAAGTTATCTGTTGCTGTGAAATCTCTGCCTAGTGTACAGTTATATGTTGCTGTGACATCTCTGCCTAGTGTACAGTTATATGTTGCTGTGACATCTCTTCCTACAGTGTACAGTTATCTGTTGCTGTGACATCTCTGCCTAGTGTACAGGCTGCCAACTTTCAGCCTGATTGAGCTAATCAGGTTTTCCTTAACTGAGTGCAGTTTTTTTTTTAAGCTTCCAATATTACTTGGAGCTGTGATAGCTCAAGACTTAGCGTGCCAGCCAGGTCAAACTGTGGCTTCGGTTCAATCATCGGTGGTGGTAGGATGTTGTTCCCAGCCAAATGTCTACATTTGCCAGGACAAGGGAAGTGTTTGCCCCTGCCAAATTATGATTGCTAATTTTGATGTTTTCAACACATGCTTGGTCTCTTATATTTAGTGCATAAACTTCTTTCTTCTTTAGGATAATATTTATTGTGTGTGCTCACATGTGTGTGTATACAAGTGCATGTGTGAAGTTTTTTTTTAAAACTGATCTTAGCTCTTATGTTGACCACAGACACACACACAAAAACAGATTAACGGATATTTGTGAGTGGAAATGTGTGCCCACTTAAGTGAAAATAAAAAAAAAATTAAAAAAAACTATTCTACAGTTCCTGCAACAGGCATGTGAAATATCAGATTTTCCTATATACTAGATTTGGATTTAACTGTGTGAGCTGACCGTAACAGGCAGGTGAAATATCAGACTTTCAAATATACCCGATTTGGGTTTAACTGTTTAAGCTGACCAGCAACAGGCATGTGAAATATCAGATTTTCATATTTACCATAATTGTGTGCGCTGACCAGTATGCTTTCTTAACCACTTTAAATTCCTAATAAATATATATATATATATATAATCTGCTGAGTACTAATACTAAGCACAGTATTTAGAGTGTTTGCTTATGAAGACAGTTGCCCAGGTTCAACCCATCTAATGGCTGAATATCCCCCTCCCCCCTCCCCAGCCAGAATGACTCTAGGGTAAACCCAATCTTAAATAACACTGAAGAAATGTTCCAAATTCTCAGGAAGTCTAGGTAGAAAAGGTGGTAATATTCCGTGAAACTAGGTAGGAAAGATGGTAATATTCCATGAAACTGTCTGGGTAGGACAAGTGGTAACATTTCCTGAAACTGTCTGGGAAAGGAAAGGTGGTAACATTCCGTGAAACTGTCTGGGTTGGACAAGTGGTAACATTCCCTGAAACTGTCTGGGAAAGGAAAGGTGGTAATATTCCATGAAACTGTCTGGGTAGGACAAGTGGTAACATTCCCTGAAACTGTCTGGGAAAGGAAAGGTGGTAACATTCCGTGAAACTGTCTGGGAAAGGAAAGGTGCTAATATTCCCTGAAACAGTCTGGGAAAGGAAAGGTGGTAACATTCTGTAAAATTGTGTGGGTAGGAAAAGTGGTAACATTCTGTGAAACTGTCTGGGTAGGAAAGATGGTAACATTCCATGAAACTGTCCGAGAAATGAAAGGTGATAACATTCCCTGAAACTGTCTGGGAAAGGAAAGGTGCTAATATTCCCTGAAACTGTCTGGGAAAGGAAAGGTAGTATCATTCTGTAAAACTGTCTGGGTAGAAAAGGTGGTAACATTCCAATAAACTGTCTGGGTAGGAAAGGTGGTAACATTTTGTGAAACTGGGTAGGAAAGGTGATAACATTCTGTGAAACTGTCTTGGTAGGAAAAGTGGTAACATTCTACAAAACTGTCTGGGTAGGAAAGGTGGTAACATTCTGTGAAACTGTCTGGGTAGGAAAGATGGTAACATTCTGTGAAACTGTCTGGGTAGGAAAGATGGTAACATTCTGGGAAGTGTCCTGGTATGAAAGAGGTCAACATTCTGAGAACTGACGGGTAGAAATGAGGTCAAAATTCTTGAAACTGTCTGGGTGGGAAAGAGGTCAAAATTCTGGCTAAGAAAGAAGGAGGAGTAGTGTTCTCTCTAGTACTAATGTCTTTAATCTGGAAGGCACAATTCCCCCCCCCCTCCTCCCTCTCCCTCCTCCTTGGGGGAGGGAGTAGGGGAATGAAGTTTCAAAGGGTGGGAATGACATAAGGCAATTTTAAAAAAAAAGAATGTGTGTCTGTGCTCATAATAATCAAGATGGTAATGAAAACAAAAAAGTGCTGCCAGCTTGATATGGAGAGTGATCTCCATGCCTTGTCCATCATCAGGCTACATAAAAACTGCCAATTACTGCCTTTTTTTTATACCACTTTTGATGTGTAGGCAAGGGGGTCTTTGAGCATGAGATTTAACGGATGCATGGCTTGTGCTGTCGCCACGACTGTACAGGTGAGGATTCCGAAAAAAAAATCCCCAGCCTTACCGAGGATTCGAACTTAGGTCTCTCTCAGACTATATACGCTTGCCATGAACTCAAAGCAGGCAGCACCCGCATAAGGTTGCAGACCACTACACTAGTACTTTCTTTGGTGTTTCTTCGTGTTTTAACTCTTCTGGTCCAGTGTCCACACATCCATAAGTGTATGCCCAAAAGGCCATTTTACTTACTTCTCTAAATACGTCTGTTTATTTACTAATATTTAACCATGAATACAATTATTTATTGCAGCAGCATTAATAAATTATTGCTCAACATCTCCTGGTCACTTTAATGTATTACATTTACATGTTGCACAGCAGTTGAATTAGTATGGTTTTGTTTTAATGTGTTACACTTGTGAAATTTTTAAACTGCATTATAACCCTTTGGTCTTCCAATGCTCAATCCCCTAGATATAAGAATTAAGTGTGAGATATATTTTCAAAAACATGAGAAAAATATTAAAACCTTGAGAGACAAACTAGAGTTAAAAATGGGAATGGCAAAATTGTGTCTGTCTTCAACTCCATCAAAAGGTGCAGAAACCTGGATAAGGAGCAGGCAACTGGATGGCAGCTAGAAGATGGGGATAATGGAACAAAGTTAATTGTCTATGGAATTGTTAATTTAGTTAATAAATGTTTGAGTTCCACACAGTTGTGAACAAAAATTACAATATGAGGTAAAATGTGATAAAGTGCAGCTAGTTTCATAATGCTAAACCATGGCCAGTGAGATGCCTGTAGGGAGCACCTGTGAGGTTTCATGAAAGACAAGTGGGTTAATGTGGCATCAGTGAGGAACCTGTTATCTTACACTTCAAGCATCGGGATAAAAGTGAGGTGAAGGTCATGTTTGTGCAGACGTTAAATCTACACCCCTACAAATATGAAAGAATTCATTCGGGGTAAAAGATATTTTTCAAATCACAACATAGACATGAAAAGGAAAGTGATATTTCTAATATTTTCAATAATTATGTTAGAAAGAGACGTATTAATAACTGGTGCTTCTCGCTCATTCACAGAGAACCAGATATTAGAGGCGACACAGACAATGAAAAAAGAAATCACAGTCATGGAACAGACAGAAATACCCCAGTTCTAGAGTGCAATCTAATTTGCCCAAAGCTAAACCTCTTGGTGGCTTTGTCTTAAGTTGTTGTACACTGAATTATCGTATGTACAGTTCAACCCAACACAACAAAATGCATTTGTAACAAGGCCGTGAATCCAAGCACTCAGCTGGTGTACACAACCTATCGTAGGTTACGGGAATCTTCTTGGATGCCAAACTTCAAGATCTAAGAAAGTAAGATTCCACGTCTTCGACCTAATTTTATTTTGTATCAGTTACTATTTGGTTCTGCATTATTAGCTTACTTGTTAATAAGTAAATACCTTGTGCATTCAGCTGTTAGTTTAAACAAAAACAAAACTTACCCGCAATAAACAAGCAACAAATAACTCCAAGAATTAGAACCCGTTTCATCTTGGCCATTCCACCAGTGTCTTCTGCCGAGCAGACGACAGCGGCAAGGGGAGAAAATCACCACACAACAACAATGACAACCGGGCAGTTGGTAACCGGGCTGTCCGGTTTTTAGCCACCTGGGGTTTCCCTGGTCCACCGAAAAGTGACCAATCACCAGTAACCACGAGCGGTGGCTTCGCCAATGATCTATTCCCAAGTACGGAGACGGTGTCCTGTGGCTGGCCCGCTCTCATTGGCTGACTGACTGGCTCAGGCCCTGCTGCTGCCAGACGTTATACTCACACGGCGTCGGCGAGATTTACACCCACCAGAATAAGTTCCGTGCATATCTACACTTAAGTATTAATATGATCATCCCAGCTGCTGGCCATGCGCCTTGTTTTGGTTTCGACAGTGATATCAGGGACCGTCCGTCCAGAAGCAATGGCAAAACTTCTGGACGTAAATTTGCCTAGAGAAACCACACACCAGCCAGGGGCTGCTTGGGTTGGTTCTGCAACGCCCTCTAAAGGATATGCAATTAACCTATTACTAAGATCGTCCACGCCAGTCGGCAAGGCACCTGATGATGATTAATGTCCACGCCAATGACGCATCAGGTATATAATGCACAGGGCCGAATGTAGGCTTATGCAGATGCATAGAGTGTCAAAATTATGAGGGCAACGAAATGTAACTAGTAATAATTAAAAATGTGCACATTTTGTTGCTTTAATTATCATTAAATCCGTATTGAATAGGCGTTCTCAAGTTAAAATAGTATGGCAATGGATATGCTAAAGTTTATCTGATGGAAAAAAAAGGGAGGAAAAAAAAGGGGGGGGGGAGGCGAAACATAAATATATGCACATAGCCACGATGCGGTTCTTCTTCTTCTTCTTCTTCTTCTTCTTCTTCTTCTTCTTCTTCTTCTTCTTCTTCTTCTTCTTCTTCTTCTTCTTCTTCTTCTTCTTCTTCTTCTTCTTCTTCTTCTTCTTCTTCTTCTTCTTCTTCTCCTCCTTCTTCTTCTGCGTTCGCCTCACATCTCTTGGTTGGTACTTTGTGTTTCGTAACTTACTGTTAGTGCAATGTTTGTGCCTTTGCGTATATCATACTTCGCCAAGAAGAAGAAGAAGAAGAAGAAGAAGAAGAAGAAGAAGAAGAAGAAGAAGAAGAAGAAGAAGAAGAAGAAGAAGAAGAAGAAGAAGAAGAAGAAGAAGAAGAAGAAGAAGAAGAAGAAGAAGAAAAAGAAGAAGAAGAAGAAGAAATAGTAGTAGTAGTAGTAGAAGTAGTGGTAGTAATAGTAGTATTTTTCCCCTAAACATATCGTTCTTAACCGGGAAGGTTATAATTTGGATGAATTAGTGCTGATAGAATTCTCAGAGTATATATTTTTTATGTTATATACATATATATATCATGTGATTATTTATATACGACATGTAGGTAATTTGCGTTGTTTCACACATTGCTTTGATTTGGGTTTTGATTATGAGTGGATTTATAATTTTCTTAGTGTAAAAGTTGATTATTTTCCTGGATGTTATCTTTGGGGGAAACTTCTTCAAAGATGACACTGGCATTCTTTATCCTTCTATATATGGATTTTAGTTCTAGTCCCAAATTGCTCGACCTTAACATGCAGATCTCTGTGGCTGTTTATGTGCAACAGATTTTCAATAGCCATAGGTAATTTACAGAGTCAATAATGGTTTTCATATGTGCTACACTCTAGCAAATAGTGCTCTAAATTATTGTATTTATGGCATAGATTACAGATCTCCTCCCGTGTAGCAAAGTAACTCCCATACAAGTTGTAGTCTGAGCAGTTTTTGATTGCATGGTATTTTAAGTTCACCTGTTCTCTGACGAAGAAGAGGAATTGTAATATGAAAACCTAATGTTATGTCAGAGCAGACCAAACCCTTAGCTCTGGTTGGCAACTGGTATAAGAGGGAATCTCCGACTGAATGAGCACTGCTCCGGCTGCTTCTGAAGCTGATTTATTTCAAACATTTTGGTATTACCTTTTCTTTGGAGTAAACAAGGAAGACCAAGGAGGGATCGTGCTGCATGGTTACACACTGTCTCTGCAGTGGTGTCCAAGCTTTGTACTAAGGAGCAAAAGAACTGTATCCATGGCCCTAATTTAACACAATAGCACACTGTTGTCTGGAAAGATGGAAAGGACTAACAACAGACTAATTGTGAAACATTGGTAGTAATCACAACATGTCTACTTCATATAAGTTAAGGTTTCTCAACTTTTCCACATCCACGGCTGCACCAAGATGGAGAAAATTATGCTGGTCCACCAAACCAAAAACAGAAAGATAAACAAATGTAAGTAGCAGTTTATTTCATAAATTAGACGCTAGAAAATTACAATTGTCAGCAACTGCGACAGTTGCTTACAGGCTAGAATTACTTTTCTAATAGATGTATATTCTTTTCTTATTTCGGGATTATACACTTTTAGAGGCTCCCGTGGACTTGTCGATGGCGCCCCAATGGGCTGCATGGGCTGAAGAATACTAATCTAGGATACAAGTAGTAATGGGCTTGCTTCTCTTATGCAAAAGGCTTGGGCAGGGTTGTCTTCCTATCGGGAATCAGGGTACTATTTTCACGGAGACTGTATGAGAGCTATTTTTGTGTGTGTGGGCTTTCTTCTTTTACTTCTCATTATAATACCAATGAGAAGATGTATAAGATTGTACCGTCTGAACGCCAATCCAATTCAGATGTAAAAATGCTTAAGAATGGAGGTGGAGGTGGTCATTTCAGCTTTCTGCTGGTTAGAAAACACGACACACACACACACGCACACATCGTGATTGAAACAGACTCTAAAAGAATGCTGAGGAAGGTGATCACAGGCATGCTTCTTGCAGATTGGCATGCTTCGCTTCGGAGGTCACTGAACTTTTTGTCTGGATCTTTTCTCCGGATCATACCGGTGTATTGGCAAATAAACAGTCAAACAGGCTGGCTTTGTCATCTGTGTGGAATAGTGATGTATGATAAGGGAGACGTTGTTAAGGCCGCATGGGAGAATGTATACGATTGGGAGCAGCATGGATCACCACAGTCTGGTGAGAGGGATGAGGGGATCTGGCTGATACTGGACGCTCTGAGAAAAGGCTAGATGGACGTATAATCAGAATGCTGCTGACGCAGTTGGTATTGGAACTCTGCGCTGGCTGCTGACAGTGGGGACTGTGCTTATGGGAATGACCTAAGTGTTGTGATGTCGGTTTTTGAATCAACTCGGCATCAGCTGTACAGATTGATATCCTTTTATTTAACGTAACATCTGCTCTCCTAGGTGAAACCAGGCTATAAACAGAGATGTTATCTTATCACTTCGTATTCATCAAGTTCTGTGAACATCATTCATCACTTTAACTAATATCTATATTTAAAACTCTCCTCCTACATTAATTCTTTGACATTCTTTATTTAAGCTTGAGCGCGTCGTCAGTTTGATTGAATGCTATCCTATGGAGGATTTTTCAAGTCAACACCGCATAGACTAAAATGGTCGTGCAGGTTTCCCAAGAGCATTAATTGTATTTTATACATATTTTAATTTTTGGGATAATTTTACAAAGAAAATAATAATAAACATCTAAGTTTTATCATACTTATATATCGAAAGTAATTATACTAACGAACATCGAAATATAAATATTCAACGAGTTTTAATCCTCAATTGCAAAACACATCATTTCCAATTCAATAAGACATCGTGGTCATGGAGACGGTAAACTATGGGGTTTTTCGTTATCATCCAGGCTTTGTACTTTAATTATTTCTCAAGCAAAACTACGATCTTGTTGTAAAAGTAAGCAGCAGGATTATTTGTAATTAACTGTTATTTACTATAATAAAGGTCTGTATTATGCCTTAGTGAGCGTGTGTTTGTATGTGCCAGTTACAGACATGAGGTTTCAACAGGACGTTTTGTGCAGATTACTACACACACACACACACACATACACGGGGCGTACAGTACACATTTATATATATACACACGTATGTATGTATATATATATATATATATATATATATATATATATATATGTACACAAACATACACTCATATATATATATATACATACACACACACACACACTCACACACTCAGACACACACTCACACTAACACACATTATGTACTAATGTGATTTAATAATATAAAATGCAAAACATTATTATTAATAGTATTTTGTACTCTGTACGTTGAAACATTTAAATGTTATTATTAGTGTTTTTTGCATTCTGTAAATTAACTTTAAACAATTACCATTATCACTTTTTTACTACAAAATATATTCACACCGTGACCGAAGACGGCCTCGATTCACACACACAAACACTCACACACACACACACACACACACATACTCGCTCTTACACAAGAAGAAGAAGTAGAAGAGGATGATGATAGCGATGGTAAAGAAGACGGTGAAGACGATGACGTTGATTTAGTCCACGAAACACAGACAGTCGCAGAAATCAACCAATACTGGAATCACACGTACAGTGTGAACTAAACATGCAGTCGCAACCTACAAGATAAGACGACAGATAGCGAACAATGGCGTCTCTTCTGCTAAACGTGGGACACCAGATGGACCGAGTCTCATAGCAACAGCTTTCAAGGGCAGAAAGTTGCACTTTTTATGTTAACGTGTTCAATCAGCCCGGCCGCCCCCCCCCCCCTTTTTTCAACCCCTTTTTACCCCCTTTATGACTGCCAGTGGTTTCGAGATGAGAAGGAAGGCCACAGACCTCTGCGAAGTCTGTGGTGCGACCCATGTTTTCCACTGACCCACACAGCCTGGTTTCCATTTGAATACCCACTGACCAAACCTGGGATCTCCCTTCTGCGTGTAGAGAGCATATCTGTACGAGTAGATATGCACAAGAAATTTAAGATTGGAGATTAAAAACTATGCTCATGTGGACAGACACCAGAAAATACTGAATATTTGCGCTTTTATTTTAAATCTGAGATTCCCAATCTAGAAATAAAACACCCATCACCACATAACAAATATCATCATCATCATCATCATAAATCACTTCTGCCGAGAAGCGGCGTGGGGAAATATAATTTGCAGTTCAGTGCGCGCTGGCTGCCATTGGCTATTGTCATGCCGTGAAGGCGTAGAGTGTCTTTAATGCTGTCGATCTATATTTCGGCGGCCATCCTGTTTCTCTTGTAGCTGATCTTCTGAGATGTAGTGCCTGTGATGGTAACTGATCTTGCTGCATTCTAAGGAGACATCAAAACCGCTTGATTTGCTGTTTCTCGATGAATCTAATACAAGGTGTTGTTCCTACAACTTCTCTTGGTATCAATTATTCACTAGATTTCGGATGGCTAGGTTGGCGGATTTTCTCAGTCATCTCTTCTCGCAGGTGGTGATTTACATATCAAGAGTACTGAAAAGTACTATATAGTAAGCGAACAGAAAGGTTCGTTCTAGAGATCTCTTCCTGGCCTGACGCCGCGAGGCATTCCAGGAGTAGAGAAAAGAAGAAGAAAAAGAAGAAGAAGAAGAAGAAGAAGAAGAAGAAGAAGAAGAAGAAGAAGAAGAAGAAGAAGAAGAAGAAGAAGAAGAAGAAGAAGAAGAAGAAGAAGAAGAAGAAGAAGAAGAAGAGGAAGAAGAAGAAGAAGAAGAAGAAGAAGAAGAAGAAGAAGAAGAAGAAGAAGAAGAAGAAGAAGAAGAAGAAGAAGAAGAAGAAGAAGAAGAAGAAGAAGAGAAGAAGAAGAAGAAGAAGAAGAAGAAGAAGAAGAAGAAGAAGAAGAAGAAGAAGAAGAAGAAGAAGAAGAAGATAATGATGATGAAAAAGAAGAAAAAGAAGAAGAATGGAACTAATAACGTTGTGTTATTCAGGCATGCCTATGTGTGGGCCTACACAAAAAAGGTAATGTAAATAACCTTAATCATACCAATGACGCATCAGACATCTGATGCCAGACTTTTATTTTATAAAGACCAGTCGATGGGTTAAGTGGTCAACATCACACCGGCCGCCTTTATTTCCCAGACCTTAGCTGGTACCCATTTGAGACTGGGTCGACGTGAGAGTCAGATTCATTTTTTAAAAGGAAAAGATTGGAACCCAAGATGTGGAGCATCTAGCCCAGTGTTATTTAACTGGCGGCCTGCGGGCTAAATCTGGCCCACGGAAGCCTAGCAAGTGGCCCGCGAATCGTTGCCAGTTGTATTGTTTTCATGATCTTTTTATGCTCGGCCTTGCGCCTCTGGTTCGAGATGATCCTGAGTTTCAGAATTTAGACCGCGGAGTTAACTTAGCTCAGTAGCCCTGACTAGCCACCACGTCAAGCAGGCACCAATACCTCCTCAGTACATACGACTAGGACGAGCATTTTCTGTCCCCATGTGTCTGTTCTTTAGTGATTAACCGTTCCTAGTATACAGATAAGGTTTGTGTCTCAGTTCTTCTGGTCAGTATCCCTTGACCTGCAGCCCATCAGAGACGACACCAGCAGCTGTTCTACCTTTAGCAAAGCTGAAGGGGGTCACTGAAACTACCAGCCCCTCCCCCTTACTCCAGTGGCGTAGCATGTAGCAAGGACAAGCGGTAACCGGTGCGGAAAGTTTACTATTATCCTACCCCGTCCCACACACACACACACACACACACACACACACACTTACGTAGATATCCCTTTTTATAGGCGAACGTAGACGATAAAAGTGGAACTACACATTTTTTAAAGGTCAAGAAAAGCAGATTATGTAAATGGGATATAAGGTAGAACCAGAAACTGTGGCTTTCATCATTACTGTATGTCCCTCTCCAGATTTGACTTTGTAAATGGTTGAAACTCTGTTCACCGTATAGTCATACAGCACACTTATACTGGGGCACCGTAAAACGGTTATGTAGTAACGTGTAGTTCAGTGTGGGTGGGTTGATTGCTTCAGAATAATAAACTACACCTGAACACGTAAACCCATAAACTAGACATAAACACATAAACCAAAAAACTAGACATGAACACAAAAACCAATAAACTAGACATGAACACATAAGTCAATAAACTAGACATAAACACATAAACCAATAAACTAGACATAAACACTTAAACCAATAAACTAGACATGAACACATAAGTCAATAAACTAGACATAAACACTTAAACCAATAAACTAGACATGAACACTTAAACCAATAAACTAAACATGAACACATAAACCAATAAACTAGAAAAGCAAATAAAACAATAAACTAGATATGAACACACGAACCAATAAGCTAAACATAAACACATAAACCAATAAACTAGACATGAAAACAAACCAATAAGCTAAACATGAATATATAAAGCAATAAACTAGACATGAACACATAAACCAATAAACTAGACATGAATATATAAACCAATAAATATAAACCAATAAACTAGACATGGATACATAAACCAGTAAACTAAACATGAACACATAAATAAAATAAGCTAGACATGAACACATACACCAGTAAACTAGACCTGAACACATAGACCAATAAAAAAGACAGACAAGGCAATATACTCTGGTATTGATTTTGTATTGTTATGCTGTAACGCACTGATTTTCAGGCGAGATCTTTCGCACATAAATCACAGAATAGGTTCTGTGATTGTGTTATACGATTTGATTAAGTCCTGGCAGGAGCTGAGGGCTTTTGTCTGGCAGCGATATTGAATTTCTTTTTAATAAAACTTGCCAGTTATTACTTTAGAACCAAATATTATGTGTGCTGGTGAAGCGAAGGCATGCATTATTTTTCTTTTTAATGTGTGTTTAGTTGTGACGTATGAGGGCGCGCGATTTTACACTCAGTATCAGCTAACGATGATATTAAGTACAGAGCATACACTCTGTAGCTTCAGTGAGGATTCTTTTCAATTTGTTTTGATTTAAGTATCAGAGTTTGTAAGTTTTATTTGTAATTTTACGTTGCTGTGAACAATAACTGTAAATTAATCAATTACGTTTACACACAAAATGTAAAAAAAAAAAAAAACTTAAATTCTGGTCATAGCCAAGAAATTATTGACACGAAATACCATAAAACACTATACGACAGACGTTCAGTCAGTGGTGTGGTTGTGTCAGAACGTTGAGTATACTTCTTGATTTTTCATAAAAAGATTTTTTTTTTTTTAAATATTTCTTACGTACAGATGATCAGGCGAGCCGCCGTGGTGTAGCGAGTAGACGCTCGCCTGCGGGTCTGAAGGTCGTGGGTTCCAATCAGGATCGTGCTTGATGTTTCTTCTTCAAAAATTACCTTGGCCTCTAGGTCGACCCAGCCTTAATTATGTACTAGGTAAAAGTCTGGGAAGTAAAGGCGGTCGAGGCGATGAGGACCACAACACACACTAAGTGCCGATTTGTTATTCTTACAATGAGCCTCACAAGTAATAAATTTTCTCACCTTTGTCTTTGACAGTGTAATTTGTGAAGGTGTTAATGCCATGAATCGGACAGAAGCAAGAAAGATTTACGTGCCGCATAATTTGCTTTAAAGCAGCAAGATATTTCGTTCAGCATTCAATCTTGAATTTGGAGATGTTAATAGCTGTTCACAAATAAATTCACACACAGTACTCGGGACATTCTCATAAGCACTCCGTCCCCATCTTAAGCAGCAAGAGCAGAATTTAAATTCTGATGGCACCAGTAACAGTCTGATTGTAAAACCGCCTCGACTTTCCCTTGAGCGAAGACCAGATCGTCTGGTAGCTTCTGACAGAACGAGACTCCTGAGACCGTGATTATCCGCACTGTTCACTCACTCCCAAACGATACCCTACAACATTGAGCTTGTCCTGCATCACTTCCCCACCAAGTGGTGCAGAACCAGCCAGTCTATTTGCCTATTAGTTGTTCACAAGAGCAATGTCAGGAAAGGGCTCTTTTGAACTTAGGAAACCGGTGTCACCTTATATTTGTTCCACGCCTCTTGACTTCAACAAGGAGAGGCAGTTCTTGTCTGATGTCGTATTTCCAAAGCTTAACGATTTATGTAAGTCACGCGGTGCTTACTTTAACCCGGTTGACCTTCGCTGGAAACCCGCGGATGCAAAGACTGAAGAAGGACTTTTACTAAAAACTTCCCTGAACGCCATTACACACTGTGTCCCTTTCTTCCTTTGCTTGCTGGGAGAGACTTACGGGCCTTTCAGAGATGACAGCGCTGCCCGGTTGCTGCTGCCTCAGTATGCTGGACAGCTGGACATCCCCCGGGACTTGGACTGGCTGGACAAAAACCTCGTTTTGGCCGCATCTGGAGGACATTCGTGGGTTCTCCAGGAAGGTAATATTAGCAATATCGTATGTGTGTATGTGTATGTGTATTTGCTGTCAGTTGTGCGTGTATCCTGGTGTGTCTTTGTGTGTATCAGAGAGGGAGAGAGAAAGAGCGGGGGCAGAGAGAGAGAGAACGTTTTTTATATGTGTCTGTGGCTGGTATAAGCTGTCTATTTACCTGTCTGTGGCTGTTATTTATTATTTAAGCCTGTTTGTATTTCGTTTATCATTTGTCTGTTTCTAACTGGCAGTTACTATCTTTCTCTCCCTCTCTCATTTCTCTCACTCGCTCACTCTCTCACTTACTCACTCACTCACACACTCACTCACACACTCACTCACTCACTCACTCACTCACTCACTCACTCACTCACTCACTCACTCACTCACTCACTCACTCACTCACTCACTCACTCACTCACTCACTCACTCACTCACTCACTCACTCACTCACTCACTCACTCACTCACTCACTCACTCACTCACTCACACTCACTCACTCACTCACTCACTCACTCACTCACTCACTCACTCACTCACTCACTCACTCACTCACTCACTCACTCACTCACTCACTCACTCACTCACTCACTCACTCACTTTCTCTCTCTGTCTTTCTCTCGCTCTGGCTTTTATTTATTGCCTGCATATTCAGGTATAGATGGAATCAGTAATAGGATCCTTCAGTGTGCTGCATCAGTTGTTTGCGAGTCGTTAACTTTTATATATAACCAGTGTCTTGCCAAAGGCTATTTTCCTTCAGCTTTTAAAATTGCCAAAGCATATCTACATCTTAAATCTGGTTCTTTGGACAGTAGTCTCCCAAGCAGCTATAGACCCATCTCCTTATTATCATCATTATCAAAACCGCTAGAAAAACACATTCACAAAATAACCCTCCAACATCTAGATAATAACAAACTTATAATTGATAACCAATCAGAATTTCGACCAAAGTATTCGTGCCATACAGCTGTTACAAACATGATAGAAACCTGGCATCAGAATATTAACGAAGATAAAATAGCTGGGTGCGTGTTTATAGACTTTGGAAAAGCCTTTGAAATGATAGACCCTACTATTCTTATTAGAAAACTAGAAATATTGAACTTCAGTTGTAATCTATTAACGTTTTTAAGATCCTTTCTGTTAAATAGGAAACAGGTAGTTTCATACAATAAATCCCTGTCTTAGGCTACTGTGGTGAATACTGGAATACCCCAGGGCTCTATTCTTGGCCCTCTGTTATTTGCCATTTATATAAATGATCTTCTTTTATGTCTGTCGTCGCCGTGTGATTTATTTGCAGATGACTGTACAGTCTATACAAGTGCTCAGACGTGTTATATTCTAGAGTCATCTTTTTTACAACAGGAATTAAACAATGTTATTTCCTGGAGCTATGCAAACCGCATGCAAGTAAACATTAGTAAAACAAAATGCATGTTAATGTCAACAAGACAAAAGCTATATTCTTTATCTGCACATAATACTCTTCAACTCTACACCAGTAACAACCCAGTAGAATGTGTAACTGAGCACAAAGCTTTAGGCGTAATTATTGATAGAAATTTAACCTTCACTTCTCATGTTCAAGCTCTTGTGAAACAAACAGCTAAAAAAGTATACCAGCTTGCAAAAATTAAACACTTTCTGGATGAAAACACCAGAAGGATATTCTATACCTCCCATATTCAGACCATCTAGACTACTGCTCCACAATATGGGATGGCTGTCCAAGTTCAGTCATGAAACGGCTTAAAGCACTTCAAAAAAGAGCTGTACGCTTAGTCAGTAATAATCATGAAAGAGATAGTTCCAGTTTACATAAAGATCTTAAGTTACTACCCTTCCATAAACGGTTACTTTTCAATAAGGCCAAATTTATTAACAAAATCTTATCAAAAATGCTCCAGATTATCATTTGGCCATTCTTCAAGTATAATGGGCGACACGGCAAACGCCTAAACATATTACACATCCCTAAACCTAAAATAGACTTGTACAAAACAAGCTTGGCGTACTCTGCAGCTCATCTGTGGAACCAACTTCCACAACCAATCAAAAATATCAAAAACCCGTATAAATACAATTGGAAGCTTTTTGAATATTATCTCACTTCAGACTACATGCTCCCTTAGAAGATAGTTTCCTAAGAATACTGTTGATTTCCATCAAGATTTATTATATTTAGTATTATAATTGTTTTAAAATGTAGGCATACTTAGAGTACATTGTTACAAATTGTTGGTGATGATGCCTATTATTATTATTATTATTATTATTATTATTATCTGCTAAAACAATGTGTGCATAAATAATGTATGCATGGCGTGAGGCCAGAAGGGCAGAATGTAAGATGGGCATGTGAGCCCAATTATTAACCCTTTGAAAATAAAGTTTGTTCGTTCGTTCGATCGTTCGTGTGTGTGTGTGTGTGTGTGTGTGTGTGTGTGTGTGTGTGTGTGTGTAGGTACAGAAATGCGTTTGTGTGTGTTACATATTTTGATTTTGCATGTTAAAAATTGTGCGCATCCATGTTTCTGGATATGTATGCGTGTGCGGATGTTACATATCATGTCTTTGCTTGTTATATATTTTGTTTGTTTATGTGTGTGTGTGTGTGTGTGTGTGTGTGTGTGTGTGTGTGTGTGTGTGTGTGTGTGTTAAATTGTGCTTGCCTAATATGAAGTATAAGTTTAAATAAACTTATTTTGTAAACAATAATGGTTGCCGTGTCGTTGTCCAACTGCCCAATCAGGCAACCAGTACAAGAGCATAACCGAGCTAGAGGTCACACAAGCAGTTCTCCTGACCCAAAGTCCGCACGCGACACTCTACTACCGGCGCTCCGACCACCTGGACAGTCATCTTGTCCCTACAGTTGAGAACAAACAGGAAGCAAAAACGGATTTAAGTCTTTATTCTTCGGAATCCGAGCAAGCCAAAGGTAAAATCCATTATCTCAAACAGAGACTGGTCAACAGAGGTGTTTCTGTGAAGTATTTCAGCACGGTAGAAGAATTGGAAAAACTGGTTCTTGAAGACTGGGCGGAGATAATCGACCTCTGTTTGCCCCCTCTTCTGCACGATGTGCAACTGTTAGGTGAGTAGCACAATGTTGTTTGGTAAAGAGAGGTAAAGTTTCAACTGCGCACGTCATGCGATGGTGTGTTTGTGAATTTTTGGTTAAATATGCGACTTTTGAAGCAGTTGCCAGGATATGCCAAATTTCAACAGATGAACGGGTAAATCTTAGTGACTGGTGAATTATCTTTCCAATTGTCAGTAAATGTATGCGTGTGGTACACTTGTGTGTGTGTGTGTGTGTGTGTGTGTGTGTGTGTGTGTTTGTTTGTGTGTGTGTACAGGTGTGCACACAGGTAAATATATAAATAAATATGAGCGTATGCAGACGTCTGTTTGAGAAAATATGGTTGTGTGACTTTATGGGTTCACCTTGGCTCGCGTGTTTGCCCCCACCCTGACTAACGTTCAGCCATTACCAGAGGACATCACACCGAGCGATAAACACCCGGTGACACAAAGTGTCACCCGGTGACACAAAGTGCCACCATTCAGATGAGGATCACCCAGGGACAGGTCCCAGAAACCCCGTTCAACCCAAAGGATGGGTTATATTAGAGCGGCCAGCGGCAGCCCACGTGGGACTTTAAAACAACGACAGATTTCTTCCCATATTGGGACTCACTGTGAATTTTCTTTTCCAGACTGGCTAAATGATTGAAATAATTAGTTTTCATAATTGAAATGATAAATATATTTGCAATAATAAATAGAAAAGAAAAGCAAATAATTTTAAATATTCAGGTTAATTATAATGACAATTTGGGATTCATTTGAAACGAAACCTTTACCGCATAAAGTGAAAGCACAAGAAAACAGAACATAAGCTGCACCTGCTTGTGTGTGCTTGTTCTGGACCAGGCAATGGCGATCATGGTTATCCATTTCTCATATTTTGTAATAATTTACTGAATTCGTGTTATGTCTATTATTGTTTGCTGCTCAGATGCACTCGAGACCAGGGTGTCAAAGAAATATAAGGAGAGAGAGAGAGAGAGAGAGAGAGAGAGAGAGAGAGAGAGAGAGAGAGAGAGAGAGGTGGAAAGAGAGGGGAAGTGAAGGAAGAGGGGGAAGGAGAGACGGGAGAGTGGATAGAGGAAAGGAGTGAGACAATGTATGTGTGTGACAGACAGACAGACAGACAGACAGACAGACAGACAGACAGACAGACAGACAGACAGACAGACAGACAGACAGACAGACAGACAGACAGACAGACAGACAGACAGACAGACAGACAGACAGACAGACAGATCCGTCGTCTAAACCTAAGTCAACCTAACCTAAAAAGGAATGTGTTCAAACTTTCCAACATTATTCTTTCTCTGACCACTAGAGAGACTTTCAAGTTTAAAAAAATGAATTAGTTGTTTAGGCGTTGCGACACACGCTTCGTAATGCCGGTGTGCCGGGTTCGATCCTAGCAGACCGCCTTGCGTTGTTTTCGATAGTGGCATCAAGAGCCGATCACTTAAACAATGGTAAACTACTGAACATAAATTTGCCAATTTGCCAATTGTACTTTGTAAATTGTACTTTGTAAATTGTGCTTTGTAAATTGTACTTTATAAAGTGTACTTTGTAAATTGTACTTTGTAAATTGTACTTTGTAAATTGTACTTTATAAAGTGTACTTTGTAAATTGTACTTTGTAAATTGTGCTTTGTAAATTGTACTTTATAAAGTGTACTTTGTAAATTGTACTTTGTAAATTGTACTTTGTAAATTGTACTTTGTAAACTGTACTTTGTAAATTTACTCTGTAAACTGTACTTTGCCAGACACGGTTGAGTACAAGGAATGGATGGACCAGGAAGTGTTCTTGAACAGAGATGTGGAATTGTTTGTGTCAACACCGGACGTAGAAGAAACATTGGAACAGCTGACGGTGTTTGCTTTGACTTGCACCAGAGAAACTGCTTCTGTACGTAGAGACCACGAGATTTCCAGATCACCAGCATGGAGCAAAGACGGTCACGACGTCTGGGCATTGTACAAACACAAGACAGGGTAAAACTGCTACTAATGCTTTATTTGAACAGATGGTTGTTATCATTTGTAGTGTGGGTGAGTGATATCTACCCTTCGGGGACTACTTTCTGAAGGTTCTAACCGCCAAGGTCCTAATGTAGACCATGACAGACTGAAATATAACAGACAATATCTTCTTCTTTTTCTTCTTTGTTCATATGCTGTAAGCTCCGGCGGAAGGTTCCTGGCTGTTCATCCATTTAGACTTTGGCTTTGTGCCGTGCCTAAAATATGTACTAGGTAGTGTTACCGGAGGTAAAGGCGGCTGGTGTGTTGTTAACCACATCACCGTCGCAATGCCGATTGGTCTATAGAAATATAGGACTTGCGCTAAATTCGCGATGAATTTAGGGTGCAAAAATGTTTCTATTTACAGCTTTATGAAATACTACCTTGATGCACTTTAGTGGCCTAGGATGAGGGGAAAAAACATAGGTATAGTTTTGCAGGTGAAAATTTTCACTTAACCTTTTTCAAGCACTGACTAGGTGAGGGTTTATAACAAATCGTTAGCTGCGCGTCCTTATCAGGACGTTGTAGAACCAGCCTCATCATTTTCAGTAGTTTGCCATTTCCCTTGTGGTCGGCTCACGATACCATTGTCAAAACCAATGGATGGCGGTCTGCTTCAAATCTCCAGCAGCTGGGATGGAACCCTGTATCTCGAAATTACAAAGCGCGTTCGCAACACCTACGCCACAGACGCCGACCTTGAGGTCAAAAGTAGTCCCAGAGCTCAAGTTTTTTGGTTTCCCTAGGGTTGTTGCTGCAGCCCAGCTACAGAGGTTGCGCTCTGTGCAGCTCTCTCGGCAGGTGACTAGCTAGTATACAGGGGGCAACAGAACAAGATGAGATGAGAACTAATGGAATACAGACCACCCCGTTCTCTTTAATCACAAATTGACGCTAACAGAAGCTACAGGGCTTATTTTGGCACGCGCCTGAACGTGATACGTCAATTAAAGCCAGATGTGGCTCCAAACATGCCGTCCCCACGCGGGATGCATTTTTCGTTATTTTAAGCCCAACGCTGGCTTTGGCCGGGAGCCCTAAATATAAAGTTAGTTGCGTATCCTTTACAGGACGTTGCAGAACCAACCCCAACAGCCTCTGGCTATTGTCTGTTTTGTGGTTTTTCTAGGCAAATTTACGTCCAGTAGTTTGCCATTTCTTTCTGGAAGGTCGGCTTTCTTGGTACCACTGTCGAAACCAACGCAAGGTGCATGGCCCGCAGCTGGGATCGAGCCCGACATTATGAAGCGTTCGCATTGATTTAGCCACTGAGCCGACCCCTAAATATAACGGGGCCTTAAATATGGCCTAATAGCTGAACGGGGTTTCAGGAGCCTCTCCACGGGGATCCTTATCCGCATGGTGGCAATTGTATCACCGGGTGTTTATTGCTTTGTGTGATGTCCTTGTGGGGTACAACAAGCATACATACCTAGATGCAGCTCGCAGTAGGTTAAACGTGGTCGATTTTTAAATGTTTTGTTTTTGTTTTAAATAAATGGATGAATGAATTGGGAAGAGTGGGGGGGGGGGGGGGGGGGGGGGGGGGGGGGGGGGTTAAAACACTAGATACTGCAACAAATACTAGTGTATGCATGTGGCACTTTGACATTAATCAGACAAGGTGGGCGACAAAGATTTTATTGCAAGAGAGATCAGTCACAGCTCTGATTAGAACCCAAGATCTTCATGTCAGGAGATAAGCATTTCACCACTGCACTTATCACGGCTGAATTTTACACATAATATTGATAAAGATATTGCTAATGAATATCAATTAAATAGCTGACAGACTTGCCAGAAGCGGCAGCGAAATGGTACTGTCAAAGGGTGACATAATCTAGTAGGAGACCACATGTTGGTAATACAAACTAGGATCCAAGAAAGGTGGCTGGATATCCACATTAGATGTTCTCCCCCAGGACTCGTTTCCTCACCTCGCAAGAGAGGGTCAGTGCTTCATATTCAGACTAAGGTCGAGGCACAACAGGCTTTGCCAGCCTATGTTCAAGTGTTTCGGTAGCTGAAACACGGAGATGTATCGAGGTACCAGAACAAAATGAGCATATGCTCCAACAATGTAGACTGTATGCTGATCACAGAGAGGTCATCTGTCCTGTTCCGACCTCATTGGAAACAAAGCAGCATGGTACACAGGGATATTTGGACTGCACGATAGCTTTTAACAAGGCTACGGGCCTCTTGATGTAAAGTTTTCTGTTAGAAACATCGAAGAATAGGAAGAGAAACCAGAGTTTAACTTACAAACCTTCACTGCACAGCAATTCTTTTATGTATTTTTTTCCAGTAGTTTTATTGACTTGAATTGTTGTCATTCTCCAGCCAGACTTCTGAAAGTCGCAACATTTCAGTCGTGTTATTCGATGGCGATAGAGGTGCTGGGAAGTCAGCTCTTGTTGGACGTTGGTTTCATGAATTCAAGAAAGACAACCCAGACATTTGTCTCATCTCACATGCTGTCTCGGCATCACGTAGAAGCTCAGACATCATCCACTTTTTAAAGTATTGCACCAGGAAATTGAGACAACGGTTTCTTTTATCAGGTAAGGTTGCAGTCATTTTGGATAAGATGGAGGTGTTGTTTTTAATTAAATTAGTCATGTTTTAATTAAGATGATGCAATTTTTAAAATGACATACTAACTTTAAATAAAGTTTACAATTACAATGATTCAGTGCGTTCTTAATGATTGGATCGCCTATTGGCTTGCCGGTAGACGGCTTCGACGTCGGTCGGGAGAATATTTGTGTCTGTCTCTCTTGATCGTATCTACGCAAGAATCCTTTTTATGGCTACTTGGTGGCGAGCAATGTTCAGTCATTTTTTATGGTTTAGATTTAAGTTTAAACAACGGATCAACATAATTGCACAAGGGTAATAACTCATAAGTGTTTCGTTCTACTTCTGAGTCTAAAGAATCTCAGCGCAGTGCACGAACTCCGTAGCACCGGGGAGGATCCTGAAATACATTTGTTTTGATTTTTAACTCAAAATTTTGCCCAGGCTGCGCCGTTAGGCTATTCTTTTTGATTTTCAACTCTCAGGTGGATATTTTTACGTGTGCAACAATAAACACAAGCATCAGATCTTACTACTCTGAGACCAGGGCAAATTACTAGAAGTCCATGTTAAAAAATCCTGGCCTTCTCCGAGGCCTGAACCCGGGACCTCCAGCACTCGAGGAGGACGCCATGACTGAAGACCATGCAGCCCCCATGGCCAAGTGGTCAAGCCATTTGCCTCACGCTTTGAAGGTCGTAGGCTGGTTCCACGACCACGCCTTCAGTTCACGAGTGCAATTTTTACGAAGATTCATAGGGATCATCACCGGAGCTACGAAGTTCGTGCTCTGTATGGCACTCTCAGCAGGCTGCTAGCCGTTTTGCATAGAGAGACTGAGCCGTATGGGATAAAACCCGGGGCAGTGAAGTCCTCTCGACTTTAACGTTCAACTTTCATTTAAAATGGCGCTCATAAACCCAGTCACAATTATAACCAAAAGCCACCCCCCCCCCCCCCATTATAGCCTTGAAAGGGGGTGGGGGAGAAGAAAAAGAATCAAAGGAAGGAGGAGAAGAAACGGAGAAGGAGGATGAAGATGAAGAAGAAGAAGTGGATGACAAAAAGACGAAGAAACACTCACACAAAAAAGGCAACTGCAGCATTGTGAAGACAAAGAAGAATGAGAAGAAGATGATGATAATCAAAATGAGGAAAAAGACTAGGAAGATAAGAGGGAAGGAAAAGTAGAGAAATCGTTTAGTCTGTTTATTTTGTTTTTGTTTGTTTCCCAGAAACATATGATGCAAACAGCCTATGTGCAGCCATTGAGAATGACACAGATAATGCTGATGACAGTTTGTTGCTTGTGTCAGAAGCCTTTGTGGCAGCCATAAGCTTGGGTCCCTGTGTCATCTTATTGGATGGAGTCGATGAACTCACCTCAGATAAACAATTTGATTGGCTACCGGAGCAGCTGCCAACTACTTGCAGGGTCATCTTCGTATCCACATCTTCAGACATTTCCCATCACTGCCTGAGTCGACGGCCAGACACTTTGGTACTTAACCTTCCAGTCTCCCTGAAGCGTCCAAGCACCACAGTTGCTATGGTAAACTATGTCAAAATTATAAAATGCTGCCTAATTTTTCAACAGCAAATATATTTTCAGCACAATGTTCTAGTGTTCAAACCCGGATCTAGGTGGATTTTGTTCAGACTTGACATCGACTGTCAAGTTCAGCCAACCTAAAATGGGTACCAGGTCTATATCCTGGCAAGTGAAGTTGGCAGGGGAGAGGTTACTCACGTCACTCACTGAGTGCCAATTGGTCTATACAAATACTGGTCTTGCACTCAATGCCAGTGAATGAACAGGGGTCCTATACTTACTTACTCACATTATTTATTTTTCCTTTTCAGCGTCTATAAATTGGTTGATGAACATTTTCAGTTCTATAAATTGTAGAGCTGTACCGAATAGGTGATTATCACTATTCGGCTGAATACTAATAACGGGACCCACTATTCGGCCGAATACGAATAGTGCATAGTGTATAAAATTGATCTAAAAAAAAAAAAAATTCATAATGTCAAATGTACGCTGAACTTTTACTTCACAAAATGTAGTACAGAATAGTCTTCTTCTTCTTTCTCTTCTTCAGCATTCCGAGCCCGAGAGGCTCATTGCTGTAGATATCACTCGTCTCCATTCATCTCTCTGGTTAACCTTCTCTTTCCAGTTGGTGACACCAAGGGTTTGCAGGTCTGTCTGGACATTATCTCTCCATCGTCTTCTTGGTCTGCCTCGAGGTCTACGACCATTCAGCTCCCTTGTGTGTACAATTTTCACTTCTGACATTCTCTCAGTTTGCCCCAACCATTTCAGTTTATTATTCTCTTGATGCCAGTGATCAGTGGTCATTTAAACAGATTATGAATTTTGTTGTTGCTGTTTGCATCTTTGAGGGGTCCAAAGATTCATCGTAAGACTGTTTTTGAAAACCTGTAATAAGGCTTTATCTCTTTTAATTATGCTCCAAGTTTCAGAGCCATATAAAACGACTGGTCTTATCAAGGTTTTATATAGTTTAATCTTGGTGTTGCGAGACAGACACTTTGACTTTAGCAGATGTTGAAGGGCATAGTATACTTTATTTCCAGTTTGTATTCTAGATTGTATTTGTTCTCTCAGCATGTTGAAGCAGTTGACGTTTGCACTCAAGTGCTTATATGTTTCCATTCGTTTGATTTTCATTTCATCGACTTGTATGTGGCTGGAGTTTATATTCTTTCTCTGTCTAGTTAATATTTGTTAGAATAGTAAACATTTAAAAACATTTTATGTTTTGCATCCTCCATCCAGTCTGTGGTAACTAATACCTAGGAATGAAAGTATTATAAGTATTATAACAAGTAACTAAACTCGTAAATTGTCACTGAAAGCTTAGTTAATGCATGTAAGCTGCATTAACTTTCAACAAAAATAATCGTTCTATGTTGTCAGCATTAAGGCAGTGTATGCAGAAGCGAGTGTAAGGTAACCACTATTCGTATTCGGCCCGACCGCAAGTATTCGGCCAAATACCGAATAGTTATTAGGTCCACTATTCAGACCGAATCGAATACGAAGGAAATGTTAGGTACAGCTCTAATAAATTGCTTTATGCACAATTTCAGCTTCTATAAATTGGTTTATGCACATTTTCAGCTTCTATAAATTGGTTTATGCACATTTTTAGGTTCTATAAATTGGTTTGTGCACATTTTCATAGTACATAGCATTGTGGCACATATGATATCCTTTGTCTTCGCGTTAGACTGAGGCGGAAAGTGCTGGTTGTTTGTCCACACATAGTCATTGGTCTTATTGCATAACCTAGGTGTTACAAGCACATCTGCTTTACAGATCTGGCTATTGTGTATACAGAAGAAGAAGAAGAAGAAGAAGAAGAAGAAGAAGAAGAAGAAGAAGAAGAAGAAGAAGAAGAAGAAGAAGAAGAAGAAGAAGAAGAAGAAGAAGAAGAAGAAGAAGAAGAAGAAGGAGAAGAAGAAGAAGAAAAAAAAGAAGAAGAAGAAGAAGAAGAAGAAGAAGAAGAAGAAGAAGAAGAAGAAGAAGAAGAAGAAGAAGAAGAAGAAGAAGAAGAAGAAGAAGAAGAAGAAGAAGAAGAAGAAGAAGAAGAAGAAGAAGAAGAAAGAAGAAGAAGAAGAAGAAGAAGAGAAGAAGAAGAAGAAGAAGAAGAAGAAGAAGAAGAAGAAGAAGAAGAAGAAGAAGAAGAAGAAGAAGAAGAAGAAGAAGAAGAAGAAGAAGAAGAAGAAGAAGAAGAAGGAGGAGGATGAGGAGGAGGTGAAGAAAGGATGAGGACGAATAATAATATTGGTAATAATAGCAATAATATACAATAAGTTCAATCTTGCCTTTTGCCATTCTCTGCAGATCCCTCCAGGCCTTCTGATTATACTTAGCTCTGTCTGTGATTCTCCTTTCAGTGTGTTATAGGGTTTTCTATAATTTCTTTCACCCTTGCAATGACTCTTTTGGGCTCTAGTTATGCAGCCTGCTCGGGAACATTGACAGAAACTTCGACACAACAAGCTTGAACATAAAGAAATTCAAGAACTCTAAACTGTTGACAACTGTTTATTGCTCCAACTATGTTCCTGTCGGTCAATGAGCCATGGGTTTGTTGTCGAGAGCAACAGCTACTCCCTTGTAGGTTCTAGCTACTATCATTACCTGGATAGATTTCTCACTTCAGAATGACAAAATGTGCATTCACAAACTGCACATCTCAGAAGATGTTCTTTCCTTCATTTCAGTTGTCATGCAGTGAGGGCCATTTTTCTCCGGAAACTGGATGGCAGCTTTACTACATTCACTCGATCACAGGATATATTTATGTCGGGGATTCCAATAGCCACAAGACCAGGCTCTCACCAGACTGAAAACCAGACTGAGCTTTCTTATTCCTCCTAGTTTACATACTCTATTCTACTTCTTGTGCATTCATAAGTACTGCTCATGATTTCACGCTATTGTAATTTGGCACATTTCAGCCAAACTGCACCTTTGCCTCAAGTTGGTATTATTTACTCAATTTGTTCCACGCATACATTATAATTAATAATCGATGCCATCCATCCTGATTCTCACACATAATTTATGTTTCATAGTTGTCCTCATTTCTGAATAATGAGACAATTTACCAACAATGAGAAAATGAACCGTTACATTCCTGTAGTTTCTAGAAAAAGGACTTTATAATTATACTAACAACATATTTTCTCAGTATGTAGCCTGTCTAGTACACAAATCTTTTCCTCACCTCTTGATTCAATAGACTCTATTTCTCTCTGTAATCCCCATTCTCGGATTCTTCATGCCAATTTAATCTAGCTCTTCAGCAGATTAAAATTAATGAATAGTTTTAGATTGTAAGAGCTGTATCAGTTGTTAACTCTGTTTCTGATCCATACAGCAGTTCTGGTTAAATGGCAGAGTTAAAAAGTGTCAATATAATACCACATTTAATTTATTACAAAATATGTTGCTTCATACTGAAGTAGTTACTGAACACTAATATTTATATATGTTCTTTGTTCTTCTAGATCCAAAAACATTTCCCTACATTGAGCGATCTGATTGGAGAAAAAGCATTGACACGATTGGCACAGTTAAAATTAATGCAAACAGCACTAGGAGCAAAGATGATTGGTTGTGAATTGTTACTTTTCAGTGGATACAGTAACCTGAACGCCTTCATGGAAGAATATGCAGAGGTACAGAGAGTTTGTATCTCTGTTCTTTGATTATCTTCACTTGTTTTGTGTGTGTGTGGTTTTTTCTTTAAGTTTCTCATTTGTGTATTGCTTCATCGTTTTTCTATTAATTTAAAATGTGAGTTTACCATAATTATTTGTATATCAGAAATTGCTACCCAGTTGTCTGTTTGTCTGTCTTGCCTGTATGTTTGTCTGTCGATCTGTGCACAACTGTCTGTGGGTCCACTTCTAGTCTTGCTGTCCATCTGAAAGTCTGTTCACATTTGTAAGTTTTTCGTTCTGTAAACAAATTAAACATATGTGTTCATAATTATGAAAATAGGATGCTTCACTATCATGCGTCTCTATGCCTAAAACAAATATATGGTTTGCGGGGAGGGGGGGGGGGGAGCAAAGTAATGAGAACCAGGTCCTTTTGTTTTCTGCTGGTACTCAATAGGACGCAATTTTTAGGTATACAGTTTTTTCAACGCTAATGTAAATATATATCATGAGAGCTAATAGACTGAAATAGTTGGGGCATATTAAAAGAATGTTGGATGACAGAGAAGTAAAAACTGAATACACAAGGGAGATGAATGGTCGTAGACAGCGAGGCAGACCAAGAAAATTATGGAGAGATAATATCCAGACAGACCTGCAAACATTAGGTGTCACCAACTGGAAACTGAAGGCCAACCAGAGAGATGAATGGGGGCGGGTGATATCTGCAGCATTGAACCTCAAGGGCTCGGAATGCTGAAGAAGAAGAATGTAAATAGATGATTCGATTGCAAAGCCTGTATTTCAAGGAACATTGGGGAGTAGTCGGAGAAGAGGAGGGCAAAGAAGGAACTCAAATGACAACATCAAGAAATGGAAAGGACTAAGTTATCATACACTTTTTCATCAAGGGGAAGATAGAAAAAGATTGCGAGTTGTATGCCCTAGTGATTCCATTGATACACCTCCACGACCCTAATGGGTAAAAGGCTATGTTATGTTATAATGTAAATAGACACTTTGTAGTGAGTGCCGGCATTTTTTTCTACAAAAAATAATAAAAGCAAAAAAAAAAAAAAAAAATGCCATGATAACGACTATGCACCCTTGAAACTATATCTGACAGGTGTGGTCCCTAAGAGATTTCTGGACTATCTGTGTACAAAACTGGACCAAGGAATACAGCTGGACATCCAAAGATGCACCTCGTGAACTTAGCTTCATTGATGGTGGTTTCTGTAAGATTGTTCAAATATTTTTGTTCATTTTAAAACCTTCCCCTGTATATCTTGTAAATCTTGTAAAGGACATGACGCTGAGTGTAAATTTACATTCAATGGATTTATAACCATCTTTCGTCTTCTTTTTCTTCTTCTTCTTCTTCTTCTTCTTCTTCTTCTTCTTCTTCTTCTTCTTCTTTTTCTTCTTCTTCTTCTTCTTCTTCTTCTTCTTCTTCTTCTTCTTCTTCTTCTTCTTCTTCTTCTTCTTCTTCTTCTTCTTCTTCTTCTTCTTCTTCTTCTTCTTCTTCTTCTTCTTCTTCTTCTTCTTCTTCTTCTTCTTCTTCTTCTTCTTCTTCTTCTTCTTCTTCTTCTTCTTCTTCTTCTTCTTCTTCTTCTTCTTCTTCTTCTTCTTCTTCTTCTTCTTCTTCTTCTTCTTCTTCTTCTTCTTTTTTTCTTCTTCTTCTTCTTCTTCTCCTCCTCCTTCTCCTCCTCCTCCTGCTTCTAATTTTTCTTCTTCTTCTTTTTCTTCTTCTTCTTCTTCTTCTTATTATTAATATTATTATTATTATTATTATCATTATTATTATTATGTAGTCCTGTTCTATCTTTCAGTTTCATGTTTTGAAGATATATCAGGTGCAATCCCTGGTATGTGCGATGAATATGCTGGTATTTCTGGTACTGGATATTCTATCTATCCATCGCTTGTGTGGTCGACTCTAGTTCTTCTTCCATTGTGTCTGGGTGCTCTCTGTGATGTACTATCTGTTGCCACTTAAACTGCAACAGCTACAACAAGTCAGCAGAAAATTAAACCTTGTTTTGAAGAAACAATAAGAAGAGAAATTGACCCACCTTTCTTATGCTGTAAAGCTATCCAAATGTTGAACTGATATTTCCCATGCCACCATCTTAGACCATTCAGTGTCATCTCTGTTGAGCTGTCTGATCCTCCAACGTCTCACTACTCCCAACACATCCAGCAAACATTATTGGACATTATTTGAGTTGTGCATTCTTCTTCTGCTTTGTCTGCTCTGTACTCCTCAGTGGAGGTAGGCCCTCAACCAACTAAAGCCATATCGTCCTATCGTTTGCTAGGATAGTTGTGGAACTTGTTCTTCTTCTTTATTTTTACTGGCTGTAAACTGTGACGGAAAGCTCTGGTTGTTCGTCCACCTTTGGACTTTAGTCTTATTCCAGAACCTGAGTGTTGCATGCACTTCCATTTTACAGATTTGACTTATTTGTATGTACACTCTTGGTTTCTTGCCTGTCAGTCAGATGCACTCCGACTTCGAAGGATGCCCTCGGTATGTTCCACTCTTATGGCATACTTATTGGGGAGATAGTGAGTCCTTTCTTGTTTTCCCTCACAATGGGGCCCTAGAACCCACACTGGGAGTTTTTTTTTAATTTTTTTTTATTAACAGTTCACCAGTTATAAATCTAAAAATATATTCCCCATCAAAGTTACTGCTATTCTTCCCCCCCCCCCCCCCCTTCTCCCTTATAATCTGTCCTCCCTTGCTGTTTTCATTTTTAATAAAGTCCTCAATTCCTTCCTTCTTCTCTGCTTTTTGTCTTCTTTTCCCCATCATTATCCTTTCTTTTTCCTCTGTCTTTCCCCAATTAATACAGTCCACATTTCATGTTTTGAACGCCAGGTTACTCCGGATGGGTCATAGATTCACTCAGCCTAATTCTCCTTTCCCGAAATGGACTCACCCAGGATCAGATCCTTTCAATCTTGAAAATGATTGGTTATGACGGTGACCTTGAAGTTACAAATTATGACTATCTAAAGTTCAAGCTTGCTGCTAGTGCCAGTTTGCAAGAAGTCGGTGATGGCTGCTTGATTTTTGGTCACAGATACATACAGAACATTGCAGAGTATATTCTGTTTGGTAAGTAGTTGTGCTTAAGTAATCAGTTACTAGTGTTTATTTACAAATGATTCTCATTTGGTACAGAGAAGGTTTAAAATGGACAAATGTGGCATCAGCACATCATCATTACAGGGACTCTCATAGATATGCTGTCTTGGAGGTGCAGGAGTGCGAGGAAATGAAAGAGCAGATTTTCTGGCTACAAAAGCAGTAACTATATGAACACACATACAAGGACAAAAAAGATATTATGAAGACCATCCGTGATTGAATGCTGATAAAAGATACGAGGTTAGATGAAATAACACATGTAAGAATGTGTCAGTGAGAAATTAGGTGTGGATCAGGCAAGGAGACACGTATGAGAGGAAGGGAACGAATGAGAGGAAGAGGATGTATGAGAGGAAGGGGACGTATGAGAGGAAGGGGGCGTATGAGAGGAAGGGGACGTATGAGAGGAAGAGAAATACGAGTTTGTAATCAGTGTGCTATGAGAACATTTCCATCTACACCTTAAAGCTGTGGGACACGGAACACCAATGGATATGCCCAATATGCTGTGATGTTGGTTCTTTAATCAATAAACAGTATTACAAGTCTATCCTTCCCCACAGAAGTCATTAAAACACATATGTATTATTAACGCTTAATATCTCTTGACTACTTGCTCTTGATTTATTTCCTTGTGGTTCTTTTAGGAAGCTTCGAGTCAAGTTCACACGACCCAGCACACATAATCAGAACTGCCAGCATCAGCAGACGCCAGTTGTACCATACATACTTAGCCAGGTATTTTTCCCAACAGCTGCTGAATGTTCAGATTTTACAGGAGCTTCCCTGGCATCTCATGTTTTCAGGGGATATACTCAGTTTGGTGAACTGTCTCACAAACTGGAAGTAAGTTACTTGTTTCTAACAACAGAGCATATACAACTGTCGTACCATTCAGTGTAATTTAACCAGAGGAAATGTCAAATTGATAAATTTGCAAATTTGATAAGCATAATTTGTAAAAATATTTAGCAGATGAACTCCATATGTACTTGCAACTCATCTATACACTATTTTTACCAAAATTGTGTAACCAGTGTCAAATGTGGACAATTACAACAACAAAAAGAAAAAAAAAGAAAATTATAAACATAAATTGAAATATACATATGATGAATCCTAAATGTAAGTAAGCGATAAAGGATCAGAAATAATGATATCAGGAAAGAAGTTTGGACGGAACCAATATTAAACTACATCAGATGATTTGCACATGTATCAAGACTTTCACCAGATAGTCCACCACAGAAAGCCCTGTCCATTATATATATTTATATAAAATAACCAAAAAGGCAATAAATGTATTGATTGGCACTTATAGAAAGAAGTAGAAAGATAGAAAGGCACACTAGACAACACTAAAATTAAAAGCTGTAGTTACCATGCCAGGATTCGAACCTGTCACCTCCATATGATTTGATCTGTTTATTTTTGTGCATCACATGTAACACACTAGAAACTGGCAATCAAATCTCTTTCTTAAATGTTTGTTGTTTTTTAGACAAAGCATTACGGTCTGCTGTATTTGTAAATTGTTGCTGTGTTTGTTATTCGACCTGTGCTTTGTTAATATAAATGTATGTAACCTGTGGTGCTATTTCAATGGTTTGGGATGAATTCTGTCTATATTCCATCGTTGTGGATTTCAAGCTGTACAGTAGATAGACATGCCAATGGTGACACCTATTTTTGGGGTGTCTAGTTGGTTGTGTTCTTAGTTCGCTTGTTTCCATAGCGAGACGCACACTACATTTGGAGGTGACAGGTTCAATTCCCGGCACGGTAACTTTAGCTTTCGATTTTAATGTTGTCTAGTGTGCCCTTGATTTTTATGTAGTAAAGTGTGTCTTTCTATCTTGCTGCTTCTTTCTTTGAGTGCCGATCAATACATTCTCTGTTTGTTTATTATATATATAAAATATTTCTACAGCCTCAAGAAGAAGAAAAGAAGAATGTAATTTCACCTGAATTAAACAGAAAATTAGGTAAAGGGATACTTTAAAATGCATGGGGAAGAGAAATGTGGATGAATAGTTTGGAGAGGACATGGACAAGATAGGATTGATGGTTTGGTGCGAGTTGGTTGGGATTTTATGCTCTAAACTAAATTTCATTTGTTTTTCAGTTTTCTGTTGAAAGTGGTGACTTCTGACAGTACCTTTTGGCTTCAAGACCTGAAAATATACTGGTCAGTTTGTCAGGTGAAAGGTTATCACCCTGACCTTGAATACCTAAAGCTAATTGAGGAAGCGGGAGTTGTCGATGTCACTGATGTACAGGTTGGTGGTTGATGTCCATTACAGCCTGTGTATCGAGATCATCATCATGTGCAAAACCAAACAGATCAGTCATTCTCTGTGTCCCTGATTCTTCTTCTTCTTCTTTCGTTCGCCTGAAATAAGTTGTCAGTATCAGCAGTTTTGTCTCTTGTATAAATTTCACTGTCGTTGTTAGTTCATTCAGTGGTCCATAGAGTTTACGTTCCACTGTTGTTCTTTCTGGCCAAAAGGTTTGCCTTAATGTGTCAAAATCGGTGCAGTCCTGGAGTACATGCTCTGCGGTCTGGGGCACATTTCCACAGGTGCACATGGCTGATACACCTATCTTGAATTTTGTGTACATGTGGTTACGTAATCGGTTGTGCCCTGTTCTGAGGCGGAAGATAATGACTTGTTCTGGTCTGTCCATAATAAAATAGTCGTCTTGTGCTGGGGCTGGTGGTTTCCTGATCGATTTAATGATTCTTTTCTTTTGGTGGTATGTGACTGGTACATCTGGCTGCTCTTTTGTCACACCTTCCCCTGCCAGTTGATCAGCTTTCTCATTTCCAGGCACTCCACAATGAGACGGTATCCACTGCATTACGACTCTTCGCTGAACGCTGAGTTGTGTCAGCAGTGTTTGCAATTCTGGTAGTTTCCTATACTGGAGTGCTTCAAGTACTGATTTAGCATCTGTAAGCATTACCACATACTGTGAGCCAAGGTTGGTATTTAGCAGTTTCTCTGTTGCTATCTTAATAGCCTGGGTTTCTGCATCGTAGTTATGGCAGTACTTCCCGGTTGGTATGCTGGACTTATCCCTAGTACCATCTGGGAATTCGATTGTGTCCCTGATAAGTTTAACCACATCATCATCATGTGCAAAACCAAACAGATCAGTCATTCTCTGTGTCCCTGATAAGTTTAACCACATCATCATCATGGTCATTTGCAGAACATCACTCTCATCACAGTCTGCCTAAAAGAAACTTGGCCTCTCGCCAATTCTCCCACCTCATGTACTTTCATACTCAAGGAGTCACTTATATCTTGTGCCCACCTTCGTTTCGGTCGGCCCTGCCCCTCCTTCCTGGTACCATGTCTTCTGCTATAATTGTTTTAGAAGGCATGGTACCAGGAAGGAGTTTAACAACAGGTTATCATACTTTTCCCCTTTGTGTTCACCCTTAGAAGGGTGGTAGTGTTGTATTTATAGCTAGGCTGTGATGTCTGTGACAAAAAAAAATCTGATTTCAGCAAACCTATACAAATCCCTAGTCACCTTTTACAACATGCTGGATAGGGGGTCACAAAGTCTATTCTTTTGGGGTGGGGTTTCACATGTGATTCTGGAGAAGCTCAGTACAGTCATAAACCGTTTCAATGGAGGGGGCAAAGGAAGGGGGGTTGGGTTAAAGCCTTGTTCAACTGTGCCATAATAATAATTAGTTTCTTTATGTTGGCACGCATAGGTGGGATATATATAGACCTTGACTTATTTTATAAAAATAATTCCAGTGTCAAGATGTGACATAGGGCAGGTCTGCACTAGATGGAGTTTGACATCATAATCTCAGAGCTACTACATCCATCGTTTTAGGTTATCACACTTAGAGCAATCGTTCCTAACTTCGTCCTTTCTTCTAGGTTATCAATGCTTAAAGACATTGTTCCCAGCTGCATCCTTCCTTCTAGGTTATCACATTTTAGAGCAATCATTCCCAACTACATCCTTCTTTCTAGGTTATCACTACTTAAAGCTGTCATTCCTAACTACATTCTTCCTTCTAGGTTATCACATTTTAGAGCAATCATTCCCAACTACATCCTTCCTTCTAGGTTATCACTACTTAAAGCTGTCATTCCTAACTACATTCTTCCTTCTAGGTTATCACATTTTAGAGCAATCGTTCCCAACTACATCCTTTCTTTTAGGTTATCACATTTTAGAGCAATCGTTCCCAACTACATCCTTCCTTCTAGGTTATCACTACTTAAAACAATCTTTCACAGCTACATCCTTCTTTCTAGTTTATCACACTTAGAGCAATCATTCCCAACTACATCCTTCCTTCTAAGTTATCCTATTTTAGAGCAGTCGTTCCCAACTACATCATTCCTTCTAGGTTATCACATTTAGAGCAATGATTCCCAACAACATCAATCCTTCTAGGTTTTCACACTTAAAGCAATCGTTCCCTACATCATTCCTTCTTGGTTATCACTACTTAAAGCAATTGTTCCCAACTTCATCCTTCCTTATACAACTACCAACGTTACCAACTACAGCCTTCCTTCGAGGTTATCATATTTTAGAGCAATCTTTCCCAACTACATCCTTTCATCTAGGCTACCACAAAGAAACCGCTCCCAACTATTGTTCTGTGGACGCCGAGGGGTCCCTGAAACAACTTTAAGGAGTCCATGATATCGTTTATGTTAGCTGTGTATCCTTTACAGGACGTTGCAAAGCCAACCCCTGCAATTTTTGGCTGTTGTGGTTTTTCTAGGCACATTTTACTTTCAGTACTTTGCCTTTGCTTTCTGAACGCCAACTCTCGTTACCACTGTCGAAACCAACGCAAGACAAATCGTCCGCAGCTGTGATCGAACCAGGCACCCCGGAGTTACGAAGACGAAGCACATTCAAAACGCCTAAGCCACAGACACCGACGATATCGTTTATACACACAGAATAAAAGAAACCCTCAGCCCATTAAAAAAAAAAATGTTAATATGGATTTAATCTTTTAACAGTAACTTTTAACAGTTGGTTTACATATGGCTTATTAATAATTATGAATAATAATGAATTATAACTTGAGAACTACTGACACAGTAATTCAAGTTGACATTTTGTGAACATGGTCAGTAATAAAAAAAAAAACACATTTTGAAATTAATTGTGTGATTTCATTTTTTAAACAGGTAGTGGAAGATAAATACAACCAGTCAGGGATGATGACATCAAGGGAAAGGACTTCCACTCCCATACTCTTGTTCACAAGGCTACATCACAAGGAGGAAATACATCAGACCAGAGAGGAACTGCAGGCTGATGTTTGTGCTTGTGATGTAGCAGACAAGGCTACGAACAGAAAGGTTTGGATAATATGAAACGTTAACTCATTCTTGAAAAGCTACACAGCGTAAAGTGATGAACTACGGTCCACTTGTATCAAACAAAACATGGTGTGTTATTATATTTATAAAGCTAGTCTGAGCTCGCTAAGCTAATATGACTTAATCTCATCATCATCATCAGGTGCCTTGCCGACTGGCATGGGCGATCATGCCTCTCCATAATCTGCGATCTCCTGCAGCATGTATCAGTTCGTGTGCCGACACACCTCCATGCCATGCAACAAGACTGTCAAGCATCTTCTCTCGTTGTCTTCCTCTATCCCTCCTTCCACAGATCTTTCCAGTGGTCACAACATGTTCTATTTTCCCTCTTGTCATAACATGGCCAAAAAATGATGACTGTCTCCTTCTGATGTCTGTGATAAGTTGCCTTCGGGCTCCCACCTCTTTGAAAACTTCTTGGTTGCTCTTTTTGGCTGTCCAAGGTATTCTAAGCATTCTTCTGTAAAACCACATCTCTGAGGCCTCTAAAAATTGTTTGGCCTGCCTACCGATTGTCCAGGATTCACAGCCATATGTTAAAACTGGATGTATGTAGCAAGCAAGAATTCTTTTTCTAACTCTCAATGACAAGGATATATTTCAAAAGATGTTTTTATTTTATCAAATGCAGTTTTTGCCTGTCCAATTCTGTTTCTTATTTCAGTTATGCATCTTCCATCTGATGTTATCCATGTGCCCAGATACTTAAATTTCTGTACTTGTCCTAAAATAACACCATTGACTTTCATTACACATTTAGGAATAATTTGTTTCTTTGATACCACCATTACTTCTGTCTTCCCATTATTCAAACTGAGGCCCATTCTTCCACTAACACCTCAATGTCTGTCATTTTCTGTAATTCTTTCTGACTTGTTGCTATCAAGACTGTGTCATCAGCATAACGTAAATTGTTTATATTGTGCCCACCAACCACAATTCCGGGCATATCAATTAAAGATCTCATTATATATTCACTGTATATTGAAAACAAATCAGGTGAAAGTAGACATCCTTGTCGTACGCCCCTCTTTATGCTTTGAAATGTACCTAAACAGTTGTTTATTCTTATAGCTGCTGTTTGCTGCCAATACATATTCTTTATTATTCGTAGATCTTTCCCATCGATGTTTAATTTTTCCAACAGTTTGATTACTTCTTCATGCTTCACACAGTCAAATGCTTTTGTATAGTCTGTGAACCATAAGTACAAATCAGTCTTTACTTCTATAGCTCTTTCTGACAATGTCCTTAGGATGTATATAACATTGTTTGTACCTTTTCCTTCTACAAATCCACATTGTTCATCGCTGATTTCTGGTTTAATTGTGTTTCTTATTCTTCTCATAATTATTCTCTGTAAAATCTTAGTCATGTGACCCGTAAGACTTATTGTGCGATGGTCTTCACATTTTAAAGTGCCTGGTTTCTTTGGCAGAGCTATAAATATGGATTTTAAAAGGTCATTTGGAAATATACCCACTATTATAAATATCATTTAAAAGTTTAGTTATTATTTCAATTCCAAAATTTCCCAGTGCATCGATTTCTTCCAGTGAGATGTTGTCTGGCCCGGGTGCTTTTCCTTTCTTCATATGATGTATTGCATCCTCAACTTCTGCAGTCATTATTGGTGAACCATCATTGTTGATCTGCAGTTCTACGTCTGGTCTATTATAATCATACAATTCCCCTATATACTCTGTCCATCTGTTAATTATATTATTATGTCTCATTAATAAGTCACCATCTTTTTGATTTCAAACATCCAGTGATGTTACGTGTCATCTTTCCTGTTAACATATTTATCTGTTGGTACATGGAATGTGAGTCTTTCCTGTGATTTTCCCTAATCTCTGTACACATTTGATTCTGCCAGGCTTCTTTAGCCACTTTGCATTTGTTCACTATTTCTTTTTGTATTCTAGAGTATTTTTTATCATTCTGTTTCTTCCTTCTTTCATCCATCAACTGCAGAATTTCGGTTGACATTGACGTAATCTAACTTATGGTAATCAGAGAACCTTGTGAGGAACAGGTATAACTACTCACAATAGCTTTACAAACTTTTCTTATGCATCTGACTAGACAGAAAATGCAGACAAGAAAGTCAGACCGCTGTTAAGGCAGAAGTGCAGGCCCTGAATTTTGAGAATTCTCTAGAGGGGGATGCTGTCATTTACACAGATGGGTCTGTGATTCGCCGTGCAAGAATCTAATGGGCTTTTACAGCCCAGGTTGGGATTAGAATTGTGAGGCAAGATGCTGGTGCTGTTGCATTGACAACAAGTAGTCTGCCTATGGAAGCCATGGCAGTGACCAAAGTAATAACATGGCTGGAGACACAGACCTTTTCCCGTGTATGCTTTCTCTGTGACTCAGTGAGTATGCTCAAGAAGATAAAGATTGGCCGGGTCTGAAAACAGTGGCTGGAGTCTTTAGAGTGGTCGGGGCTGACATATATCAGTTTCATATTTGTGCGTGCCAGGGTGCACAGGCGTGCAAGGAAATGAACTGGCAGATCAACTTGCAGGTAAAGCTACTGTGGAGGGTGGACGAGCCATGGACCATGCTGATATTCTGAATGCTCTCGAGAAGTAAGATGTTTGCAAGAACTGAGGGATGACGATTACTGTAAGAACATGTTAAAAGGGATGTAGCCAAGCAAGAACTGTATGCAGGAAGGGAAAGAAAATTTAGAAACCAACACAGAACTTGTGACGTCAGCAGATACACGCTGCCAGATTTACTCAGAAGATGATCCAAACACTTATGGACTGAATGGTTCGATGTGCAGTGAGGATAATCTGTTGACTAACTAACTTACTAATGGTATGTGCACACATATATTGCCACTTTGAGATTAATTTTTCTGTTAATTTCTCTTATGTCAGCTTCTATTGCTTTTTGTTTCTAGCGTTCTTTGTTATTTTTAGTTTATCCCAAATTTTTCTTGATCCAGTCTTACAATGTATTTGTATTTCTATTAGTTTTCAGACAGTGTGTTTGTGACACAATGTCACTCAGGGTTGTGTGATCAACAGCCACTGGTCACTATCAGACGGGAGGTAGAAGGCTTGTCTGATGTGGCTTTCCTTGGCTGGTTCCTGGCAAAGTTTCTGGATCAAATTAATGAAAGAGAGGCTGGCAAGATTATTTTATCATCGCTGATGAAGTACATTCAACAGGTAAGATGAAATAGCTTGACATGGTCAAGAATTTGATGTGTGCAAGCTTTAAATTAAAAAAATAGGCAAAGCAGTCATCCTCAAAACAGATTAACGCTGTTAATTGATTAGAAAATAGGGATAGACTAGTGAACTTGGTAACGACTAGCAATAGTGATAGAATGAAAGCAAAGGGTAGGCAAAGAGGTGAATACCTGGATGGCTTAGCCATATCGATGTAGTGAGACAAGAACACTGACCTTATCCATAATTCTGATGGTAGTGTGAGATGGCTAAATGATGTTGATGGATTACATAGTTTGTTACTACTGTCCAAAGCTATAAAAAATAAATTTGTTAAAATTGTCAAGAAATCAGTAACCATGAAAATCAGATGTCTAAGAATTGCTGCAGGAGGGATCCTAAGAGATAACATCAGGAATAAGATCATAAGAGAACAGGTCAGCACAAAAATGGTTCTAAATTACATATCAAGACAGCAAATCAAACGGTTTGCACACTCAGAGAGAATGCCCTGTGACGCAACACCATACAAAGCATACATGAAAAGAGAAAAATGACGCAGAACATAAGGTAGACCAAGAACAAAATGGAAAGATAACAGCAGAGAAACTCTACAACACCACAGTATATCTATGGTCAAGGCGGCCAGAAAAGCAAAAAAGCAGAACCTTATTTCTCCCTTGACACCCGAAGTGTTAATGAGGAAATGAAAAAAAGGGGAACAATGTCAAGAGTTATGCATTGCTACATTTGTTTTACATTATCTGTCATATGATTGCAGTGATATTTTACTAATGACAAAAAAATGTTCTATTCCTGAAAACTGCATAGAAATGCTCTCAGACAACAGAAACACACATTCTTCTCAGCCGATACCATCATTTTGTTGGACAATGTTATGAAACCTTTAGTGACCTTGACACAGCAGACAAAAAGTACAAACTGGCACTTCGTTCTATCATGGCTGCCATAGACCTGGACGATGAAATGATATGTGAAGAATCCACTCAATATTTGAAAGGTAATTGTTGATTATATCAAACCCACTATCACAGTAACATGATTACTGATTTAAGAATCCCCATCATCGCACACTAGACTCTGTCTGCGGCAGCAAATGTATTAAGGTGTAGATGCTAACTGTATCCATAGCACACTGATTATACACAAATCGTTCTCTTCCTGCCTTCTGTCCCTCCTTGCTGGATCCACACTTAATTCCTTGTTCACACATTCTTGCACATGTTATTTTATCTAACCTCGTATCTTCTGTCAGCTGTTGTTCATATATGGTCTTCAGAATATCTCCCTTGTCCAGTACGAGTGTTCCCCTAGCTGTCGCTTTTATAGCCAGAAAATCCGCTCTTTAATTCCCTCGCACTCCTGCATTACCAGACAGCATATCCACGTTATTCCCTGCAAAGCTGGCATACTGATGCATAGTATCCACTCATGCCACATTAGTCCATTTTGAACCTTTTGCAGTGCCGACTGAGAATCAGACACAATAAATCCTTTGGTAACTTTATTTTCTGCTATCCAATTCAGAGCTGCAGTGATTGCCCCAACTTCCATTCTCATGCTTGACGTTATAGATAATAAAAAAAATCTCCATTTTGTTCTGCTACAATTTTCCCCCATTCATTCTAGCTGAAAATCCCCAGCCAGATCTTAACCCCGATAACATGATAATAACATATCTATTCGTAGATCTGGCTTATTTTCATGAAGACTTCTGGTTCCTTGACTATCAGGCAGATGTACTCTGACTTTGAAGGAAACCCCTAATTAGTTAACTCTTATGACATGTTTGTTAAGGAAGCAGTGGGGATTCTCCCCCCCCCCCCCCCCCCAATAATATGGCCCGGGAACCCACATGGGGAAGCTTTATCTCAACTCCTGCATCACCTCAGAGTTACAGTGTATGCTCAAAATTAATGAGAATACAAACAAATCATAAGGTGATTTACTGTAACAGTAATTCTTCAGGGCTTTATTATAGAAATAAAAAAATGCCTGTACTCATTACAAAGTGTCTATTACAGTAGTACTTAAAAAAACTGATGTATAAAAAGGGTGCAGTTACTGCGTACCACAGAAACAAAAATGCCCTTTCCTACTTGTATAAAACAGTTACCAGAAATATCAAGAATTATAGAAACAGAGGCTAGCCAGGGAAAATGAATAAGGGGGGAAGGGGTGCAGGATGGCTAGCCAGAGTTGCTATGCAAATTGATAGCTTTGTTCAAGACTCATGTAATCTATCACCGTTGCATCAGATTTAAGAGTTAATTGATTAGCTTTGAAACTCAACCTTCCAGAAACTTCCCAACCAATTAGCGGACTGAAATGTTATCTAATTGTGGATTGATCTTTCGTCTGGAGTGACATCTTAGCTGTCCATATCAACTTCCTATCTTGACATTACCAAAAGAGCGAACATGAAGAAGATATAACTGAGGAGCTTAATTTCTTTCTATTTTCTTGATTGCCTTAACTTTTAAAATTATTCTTTCAGGCTTGCTGTTGAATTGTCTTGGACATATTCGTATTCTCAAGGGACAGAACTCTGAAGCTGCAGAGTTGCTTGAAGAGGCATTAGATTGTATCAGGGATAACTCTGACTGTTTTGTTCTCAAGTCGGCAATCTACTACAACCTGGGACTGGTTTGGTGAGTTATTCTGAAATATTTTGTTTTAAATTTAGGCCGTACAAAGCGAACATAATTTTTGATTAAAGAAAATGCAAGGGCAAAATGTATTTAATTGTACTCTTTATATTTCAGATAGTTGTCCTGGCAACTCTTGACATTCATCATCCCCTTGAGGAAAGCAGTTTTTCATTATTTTGAATAATTGACTTTGTGTCACCGGGTGGTTGTCGCTTGTGTGAAGTCCTGGTGGGGTACAACTTCCATACATGCTTACGTACATTATTTTGAAGCCCTGCCCTGGCTGTTGCCAGGGGCTCTATTATAACCTAACGTTTAAACGGGGTTTCCGGGACCTCTCCACAGGTGATCCTCATGCACATGGATGCGCTTTGTGTCACCAAGTGTTCATCCTTCTGTGTGATGTCCTGGTGGGGTAAAAGTTACTCACTTACTGGCAATTCCTTCTGTTCAACACATTTGTATTAAATCTGATCCTACAGTAAAATATTTTTTTATTTCATTGTATGACTTTTTATTTTTGAGCTACAAACATTAGCTGATGACTGCAGGGAATAGATTGAATTATACAGTATGACAGAAACACTGTTGTGGAGCTTTCAGGGAAAACTAGATGAATTCCAGTAATTAGAATATCAGGAAAAGATACAGGTATTGGATAAAAGACACACTGAGAAATCTTGATAACAGTATAACTAGAATTCACCCACAGGGTGAAAGGAATAAAGGCAGACCATAAAACTCACAGAGCAAAGAATTGGAGACTGAATTTGTAAAAGATGATGACACCATAGGGTGAGCTATAACAATGGATGGGACGACTTTACATGAGTTTGGTTGAGGGCCTATGCTCCATTGGGTGATAAAAACAAAAGAAAACAAGGACAGAAATAGGTGATGTTACTGGAATAAAAACAACGATATGTGATATTTGTCAGGGAGTATTCAGTGATTTCGTTGGCACTATAGAGAGGCATGAATGCTCTGCCATTAAGGTCGGGGATGCGGTTCCTTCTCTCCATAACACAAAGCCTGGGCAATATTGTAAGATGCCTTGTGTTGCCTATGCAGCTTAATTCTTCTCCTGGTCTGCCTTGTTACTCCACAGAAAATGTAACACCAATAGGTCTGGAGTAACTGTCAGATCACAAGATCAGTACCATGTTCGTCCGCTTGTCAGAGTTTCTCTCCTAGACCAGCTGCCAGCCACTGATAAAGGCCTGGTCTGACCTGCCATAACATAATGTTTTCAAACTGCCTTTCCTCTTCCAAGGATCAGGCTGGTATTCTTCCCAGTGCACTCCTCCACACATAGCCATTGTTCAGCAGTTTATGTTCATGCTAAATAAGTTTATCTCACACTCCTCAGCCATTGTTCAGCAGTTTATGTTCATGCTAAATAAGTTTATCTCACACTCCTCAGCCATTGTTCAGCAGTTTATGTTCATGCTAAATATGTTTATCTCACACTCCTCAGCCATTATTCAGTTGTTTATGTTCATGCTAAATATGTTTATCTCACACTCCTCAGCCATTATTCAGTTGTTTATGTTCATGCTAAATATGTTTATCTCACACTCCTCCACCTGCATCCATTTTCGGCTGTTTATGTTCATGCTAAATATGTTTATCTCACACTCCTCAGCCATTGTTCAGTTGCTAATGTTCATGCTAAATATGTTTATCTCACACTCCTCAGCCATTGTTCAGTTGTTAATGTTCATGCTAAATATGTTTTTCTCACACTCCTTAGCCATTGTTCAGTTGTTTATGTTCATGCTAAATATGTTTATCTCACACTCCTCAGCCATTGTTCGGTTGTTTATGTTCATGCTAAATATGTTTATCTCACACTCCTCAGCCATTGTTCAGTTGTTTATGTTCATGCTAAATATGTTTATTTCACACTCCTCCACCTGCAGTCATTTTCGGCTGTTTACGTTCATGCTAAATATGTTTATCTCACACTCCTCCACCCACAGCCATTGTTCAGCTGTTTACGTTCATGCTATTTACTTTTATCTCACACTCCTCCACCCACAGCCATTATTCGGTTGTTTATGTCCATGCTAAATATGTTTATCTCGCACTCCTCCACCAACAGCCATTGCTCAGCTGTTTATGTTCATGCTAAATATGTTTGTCTCGACAGTTCATGCCAGCACAACTATATCCAGGCAGAGACACACCTCAGAGAGTCAGTGAGACTGCGAATCCGATGGTTTGGTTGGCGTCATCCCCTGGTAGCTGAGGCCTTGGTAGCTCTAGCCCAGCTACTTGCTGAACCAAGTAACACCAGAGGGTAATGACACCTTTCTTTTAAACCAGTCAAGCTGTAATGAAACGGTAATTAAAACCATTCAGAAAACTTTCTGCTCCAAGTAATGCTACAGTGCAATGACACTTTTATTAAAACCAGTCAAACTGAGTGTAATGAAACATTAATTGAAACCATTCAGACTACTTACTGCTCCAAGTAATGCTACAGTAAAATGACACTTTAATTAAAACCAGTCAAACTACTTGCTGAATCAAATTAAACAAGAGGGTTACACAACTTTAATTAAAGTTACAGTAAAACTGTAAAAGGCCACAGAAGGCTTGGAAGGAAAGTCAACACACCAAACTAAATAACGCAAGTCATTTTCATGACTCAGATGACTTAAAATATATAGGGTCATTTTTCACCTCAGATGGAAGAATAGATAGAGAAATCAACATACAATGTAGCAAGTCAGATTATGGAACTATTAACATTGCTTCTGATGCATAGAAAGATACCTCTGTCAGCCAAAGCAAATAAGAATGGTTTTTGGCCGACATTGTGCTACCAGTGCCAAACATGGACCCTTACTTCAACTAAAGAGCAGAATATCGTAATAACAGAGATGAGATGTCGAAGGAAAGCTGCTGGTGTGACAAGAAGAGATATAATCAGTAATGAAGAAATTAGTAGAAGACTAGGACTGAAACCAGTCATACAATTCATTATATAACAATAAATGAGATGGTTTGGCCACCTTACGAGAATGCCCTGGTACCAACTGCCACAGAGAGCCATGCTGAAGAAATATAGGAAACACAGAGCAAGGGGAAGACCATGCAAGATATGGAATGACATTATCAGGAGCAACCTCACAGAAATGCACATCAACTTGTACAGTGCATTGGAAAAAGTGCACCATCGATCTTTACTCCCCCCCCCCCCCTTTCCAACACCTCGATGAGGTAAATTGTGGAAGAGGAGAATAAGAAAAAGAAGAAAATGAAGAAGAGGGGACAAATGTCAACACATCGGACTCAAAAATTAAGAGTCAGTCTTCCAGAGGATCACCAAAAGACTGGCCCTATGGATGCTTGTCACTGGCTATCAAGGTGTTGTTTCTGCAGGTTGACTTTGGCTCGCCTAAGGGACATACCTGGCGACATCCATGACAGTTCGACAATGTCCAAAACACGCCCGCAAGTCGTGTGACATACTGATACGGATTTACACCAACTATAGTGTGACGGAACCTGAGAAAAACCATCCGTCCTCTACTAAAGTCCAAAACACTGAGATATTTTAAAAAAATACCGTCACGTCTCACTCAGTTTACTTTACCTCACGGGGAAAACCCCGTAAGTATTTGGTGGATGACTTCTGAAGCCAGCTAATCTAGTATCTCTGTAATACTTACATTCCTGTTGTACACTCATACACACAAACTGTGGGTCCTGACACTGTCCAAAAAATACATTCTAAAGCGAAGTATTCTTGAACTGCACTTGTATTCATGGCGAGGCGCAGACGCCGTCTAGAGGTGACAGGTTTAATTCCCGGCACGGTAACTATAGCTTTCGATTTTTATGTTTTCTAGTGTGTTCTTCTATCTATCTACTTCTTTCTATGAGTGCTGATCAATACACTTTTTGTTACTTGATTAATTGAACTAGAGGGGAAAACTTGTTGGACCTACTTTTCTGTTGAGTCAGTCAGGTGTCATCTCCATAATAAAGGTTGCTTGCAATGGATCTCCAACGAATTATACTTTCACCCTGGATGTATACTCTCAGACTGATGTCTGTCCATCAATTTTTCCAGACAACCTCCAAAATACATTTATGTTGCTAATATTCAAATTGACGTTCATATTGCTGGCATTCCAACCAATCTTGGCAGTTGCACATTGAAAATAGCTTAATAGGCTGCTTTTCAGACCAAAGACTGGCTAACCTTGCTACACAACTGCCTGTATGTCATCGTCATCATCATCATCATCATGTGCCATAAGGTAAACTTAGGCTATCATGTTTCTCCATCTCAGACGATCACCAGAATCATGGATCAGTTCTGTGTTTTTGTCTCGCATCTGCCCACCTGTATGTACCTGGTCATATTTCTGTTTTTGACACTATAGCCAGGATCTAGTTCAAGCAAAGGATCTCTACAAGCAAGCTTTACATATACAACAGAAATGTTTCGGACCTTCTCACCTGTCAGTGGCCAGTGTCCTGTACGAATTAGGTGAGTATGGTGTGTGTTCAGTTCAGCAGATAGTTTTGTTTGTTCTCTGTGTGTGTGTGTGTTTTTTTTTTTTAGGTTCTAATCATTATAACACGCATATTTATTGTTTGTACAGTTATACTGTATCATTATAGCACACATATTCATTGTTTGTGCAGTTATACTGTATCATTATAGCACACATATTCATTGTTTGTACAGTTATACTGTATCATTATAGCACACATATGTATTGTTTGTCCATACTGGACAGGTTCGCTGTTAGCAGCAGAGGATAGTCGCTTGGCAAAACTGGAAGCTCAGGATTGTTTGAGGCAGTCTCTTGACCTGAGAGTTACACATTTAGGTAATATGTTGTGACAGTTGCACGAAGAAAGATTAAGCATAATATAATAGGAAATATATCTGAGGAAAGTGTTGTGTGGTATTTATTATACCTGAAATATTCAGCTCAGCTTTTCTGGGATATAACCTGGATATTTGTATAGTCTGTCTCTATTTCAAACGATGGATGTTTATGTTTTTCTAGCTAGTATTTTTACTTCTTTAATACTTTCTTTTTTTCTTAATTCTATAATCATGTCTTTCAAAAATATGTGGTACTCATTTTTCTTTTTATGCTTACCTTTTTATTATTCTTTCTTTTTATTCATGTCAGCATATTTACAGTATTTTGATAACTGACTTAAATTATTAGTATTTTACCTTGAAATATAGATTGCTTATATTTGAGTTATCTTTTGTAATTTACTGCTTTCTCTTTCCTCACACTTTGATTTTCTACTTTTCAAATGATATTTTTTTTTAAATTTCCACCACAGACTTATTCCAATGGGTCAGTTATTTTGTTAGAACTTTTCTTTGGAATGTTTGTTTGTCTGTCTACTCCAGTAAGTAGGCTTCACTTTTATTATACACCTAGCAATTATTGCAGTTGAATCTCAGTATTTTTAAATTGTTTTTTTATTTGCAAAGACCTAAACCGACAACTGATAAATTAGACATTGAAAAGCCGAAAAGGGCCTTTCTTCCTTCCTTTGGAGCATGGGACATAGAGTGCCAGACCGATATTTCTATAGACCAGTCAGCACTCTGTGGGTAAGGTGTTCAACATCACACCGGATGTGTTAAATAGTTAAGAATCAGTTAGTTTTGTTGTAGTTATAATTCAAATGATTATCTGTGTTAACTGTCTCATTTTGCTTGTTTGTAGGAAGCAGACACCCATTTACAATAGAGAGCCAACAGAAACTGACCCAGGTGAATGTGGATCTTCAGCTAAAGAACTACGAGTTTGGCTCTGGGAAATATGCTGCCTCCTCCTCTGCCCTTGTGAGATGTGATATCTCCTCAATGATGCCTGCCCGTGCAAACAGGAAACCATTCAGTGCCGTTTCTCTACCTGAATCTGGTCAGGTCAGAAGGTCCAAGAAAGGCCAGAGGTTCCATTCTGCTTATTCAGAAGATAACACGTCAGAATGGTCTCCAAATAATGGAGGTCTGAAAAGGGAGAGCACCTTGTTGAGTATGACCAGTGCAAGTGAGAGGCTCTTGTCTACTCCACTGACAGGAATACCCCGACTGCTGTACATGAAGAAACATGGTCATTCATGTCAAGGTTTCAGGCAACATGGCAATACAGGAATCAAGCAAATGGAGGAGGCAGAAATTAAAATTAGTAAAAATGAAAATGACAGTAGAGTAGTTACAGAAAATGAACTGTCTCAGTCTGAAACTGGTGTGGCTGTAAATCTGAGATCAATAGATGAAGGTCAACATGGAAGTATGCAAGATTATACAGCAGAGAATATTGATGAGGAGATTAATCAAGCAGTGAATGGGAATTTCCACAACATTCAGCCAGTCACTGTTGATATACACCACACAGGCGACAATAATGTGTCCAAAGAAACAGGTCAAAAGATGCTAAGTAATCCAAATTTAAATGCTCACACAGAAATTACTGGAGCACAAAGCTTAGATAACGAAAAGAAAACCATTTCAGTTCACCCTGCTAGTTCTCCCCAAAGATTACTTCAAAGATACCGAAAATATTCACTTATTGACAGGCCACAGACAAACACAAGTAAGAGTAGGAAAACTTCCAGCTTTCCGCATCGTTTGTGGAGTGGTCGAAGCAGTATCACAGCTGCCTCTTTATACAACAGTAGTCATCTATCCCACTGCAAAATACCTGGTCGTTATGACATCACAGTGGGTAACAGCCGAAGCATGTCTGGTCCTCACAGTGACCTCACAAGTCTCCTGGGTGACCCGCCGTGTCCTCGACAGACATCGAATGTATTAAATCACAGATCCGCTTGGTATCATGTCCCAGGCCGGTATGCAACTCCACAACACAGGTACCCTAGCAAACGCATGCAGAGAACAAAGAGTTCTAAAGACATAGAATTTACCGTCACCCAGAAATGGCAGCATCCTATTTCAAAGCAACAAGAACAAGAAGACCTCAGGAATCAGTCAGAGAAAGAAAACCTTGTTTTGAATGGAACTTATCTGCTACATTCACGAAATGCAATGATCAGCAACAAAGACAACTTTTCCATGCTTCCAAGATTTGTATTCAGTCAAAACTCTGGGGAAAGTTTGAAGGTCAGTGGGCTGGAGATGCCCAGAGGTGGTCACCCAAATCATGGGTCTGCTTCCCAAAGCCGAGCTGTCCAGTTTCAAAAGAACAATATATTAGCCTAGACTTTGAATGGAACAAAAATCTTCAATCATCGTTTTATGGTATAAGCTAATTTGATAATTTAACTAAATTTTTTTCATGTCACTTTTCACAAAATCTGGACTGGTTTTCGCCAGAGACAATAGAATTAGTCCACTGATGTATGCTAGCTCTCTAAGGCATACAACATAGAAAGAGAAAGAAACAAAAATATTACAGACCACATGTTGACGGCATTAAAAAGCTAGGCAGAAACCTGCGATTTTTAGATTTAAAACTGGACATTGTAGGCTCAAGTACCAGTTCCCTGAGCTGAGTTTGAGAGACTTTAAATTAACCTGTTCTCATAGCACTAGAACACACCACAGCACACCCTGGGAGATTGTTCTAGAATTGTCCATACGGAGAATAGAAATCTGACCTACAGGAACACACTAGCAAGACAAACTGCGTGAGACTGGTAAACACCTCATGTGTATATGACCCCTGTGGTAACTGACATAGCAAATAATGACCATTGAACCAGAAGAACTTCTCTATGCCAAAAAATGCGGAATTTTACATTTATAATAATTTATATTATTTATGTGTTTATTTGAGACATTTATAGTTAACCTTAAAAATTGTGCAGTGAAATCAATGTTGGCTGGCAGCATAATGCAACCGGGTGTGATTACGTTTAAAGAGATAGACAGAAGGGGGTATAAAAAGAGAAATAAAAAAATTCGGGACCTTTTCCTGAATAACCCAATTTTCCCTGCCAATGACCTCAGGTTACTCACTCGGCCAGGCTTCTGAGATCTTGTTTCCTCCCTTTCAAGGACACACTTTAAAGGATTCATATTGTGTATAGACAACTCATAACTCGACTGGTGATATGCTCAACATCACGCCGGCCGCCTTTACTTCTAACGATTTTACCTAGTACTCATTTTAGGATGGGTCACCCTGAGAGCCAGGGTCATTTCTGAAGAAGAAGAAAATCTGACTCGGTGCGCATTCCAACTCACTACCACTACACAGGGCAAAACTATAGTTATGTAGACCTATTAAATCATTGCTTGCTGTATCACTTCAGTGCAGTTCTCTTAAAACAATCTAAACTTGTTGTCTTGCTTTGTCAACAACTTTTGAACTAGCAAAAGAACCATTTTATTGCCTCTAACTGGTTCAGAACTTACCGGGTGATGTTGTGTGGAGCTCAATAATATGATGTCAAAGTTTTAAAATATCTGTGATTATTCCCATCACATATAACGATTCGCACACAGTCAACACGGACATACAATCGGACTGTAACAGAAATTGAATTCTGCGTTGCCTGCTGAAGACGGACATGGAGCGCTGAAAAGAATCTCCAGAATGCTGTCAAGTCAATATATAACACTGATAGACAGAGAGACACAGACACACACACACACATACTTCGCGCGCACGCACATACACACATAAACACATTATTGTTCCATTAGGAAAATTAAAAATACAGATTCTGTAAGTATGTGAAACAGGGTGCATCCCGATCACATAAAAGCTTATTGGGGCGGTGCTCCGGTGTCTGCTGGTGTAATCATTAGTCATTAGAAGGGATTATCATCACAGCACTCCGGACAGATCCTTAGGTGTTCCAATCTCCTCCTCCAAAGCTCCACAAGTGTAAAACGACTGATGACGACTGTTCTGTGTTGGTTAATGAAACGTCTTGTCCCCTTAGTGAAATGTTCATTTCTTGCAGCTCCAGGCTACACCCCCCATGTCCATCAGTCTAGACAGGGATATGGAGTCAGACCATTTGATCGATGGAATGTTAATGAACTCACAACAATGAGAAATGTATCCCCAAAAATGACCGCAGAATGAGCGACTAACACCTGGTAACATGAGGTCATCATTCGGATAAGAATCCCGCAGGCGCAAGCCACAGAAACCCAGCTCAACGGTAAAGTTAATACGAAGTAACATGGTCCAATCGGGGTAGGGCCTGATATTTGTATATATATATATATATATATATATATATATATATATATATATATATATATATATATATATATATATATATATATATATATATATATATTTATTTATTAACGCCGTCTTTACCTACACAAGCTGGTGGGTCACACCAGGCTGGTGTCGCTGTTATGGGTGACCAGATTATACCTTTGCTGGAGGTTGAACGGGGTATCTGTGATGTGCCCTCTTGGCTTGGAATTATGTAATCTCATGATGGTCAAACTTTCAGATAGTACAAAAATATTTTGACAAAAATGGGAGAATGGAACATGAACCAGTAGAATAATGTATTTGTGTATACTAGTGTGTGATATAAACGAGTAGAATTATGCAGTGTGTTGATAATGTGACTTGTCTGCATGTTTCTTGTTATCTGTCTGTCTGTCCGTCTATGTGCCTGTCAGTCTGTCTATTTATCTATATCGTGAACACTTCCTGTTATTTATATAGTATTTCTGTCATTTATTATATTAACTTTTCCTCCTACTAGTACTACGACTACCACCACCACCACTACTACTACTACTTCTGGTAATGCTACCATTACTGCTGGTAGTAGTAAAAGTAGTGCTACTACAACTACTAATACTGCTTCATTTGCTCTTCTCCCTCCTCTTTGCCCATACCAGAATTGAAAATGACGGTCTGCTGTCAAATCGCATGACTTCTGAATCGAACTGGGTATTTCAGAGTTATGAAGCGTGTTCGTAAAGCCTAAACCACAGACGCGAGCTGGATATATACGAGTTATTTAGCTGTGCCTTACTTTGGTTAGCGCTCTAATTACACAACTCCTAGCACACATGCAAACACACTGCAGCTCTGTGACTCACATAGCCACCTGTCTGTGACTGGTGAAGCTCGGGGACATCTCGACGACAAACATGGCCGGCAATTAGCCAAGATCAACACACCAGCAATGTTTGTTGTGTGCAGGACTTAGTTTCAGCAGCTACAGGTAAAATAAAGGACCCTTTTCCACGCCTTCAAACATACAGGCCTAGACCTATATTTGATGCGGAACTCGGGGGTTGCTATGGTCAGCATCACACCGGCGGCCTTTACTTCCCATGAGTTTAACTGGGAGGATAGAAGACAGAAGAAGAAGAATGTACTGAAAGTAAAATATTTGAAAATAATATTTCAAATGTTAATTATCTAAACAAACACTTTGAAGAAAACTTCCATGCCTGTGTTTTTTGTTGTTGTTGTTGGGGGGGGGGGGGGGGGGGGGGCTTAGCCCCATTACTAATCCCTCACACCCTGACATCTGAGGTGTGAGAGCGGGTGGTTGACCTCTCAGGTATATGCATGACACAGATCCCAAACTACATCATTAGTTCTCAAACATGGAGAGAGAAATGGCCTGTCAAATCTTTTTTCGGTGGATCCCGGCTCACTGCGGCATACCAGGAAACGAGTTGACAGACAGACTTCCAAAAATGGAACACACAAAAAAAGAAGGGGGATGGGGGAGCTCGCCCATTTATTGTCATTACCAGAAATCAAAACACTTATCCAGGGAAAAGACAAGGAAATGTGAAGAGAACAAACCAACAGTAAACCCTCACAAGACCCCATCAGCAGACTCAACAGAAAGCAACATACAACACTTTTCTGTCTACAAAAGGACACTGCAGGCTCAACTACCACATGCATAATGAGAAGACTGTACAGTCCCCACAGTGTGCCTGAAGACAGGACCACAAACGCCTGAACACATTCTGCAGATCTACCCACTCTATCTACAACTTTGAAAAGACACCTGGCCTCAAGAGCAAAGTGTGCAGAGCAAGCTGTGGGAAAACCAAGGACTTTCAACTGACATGCGAGTTCGTAGAGGCAACCCACCTGACAGTCTAACCTGAACACGCAAAACCGAACACCAAGAAGAAGAAGAACGAACGAACGAACGAACGAACGAACTTTATTTTCAAAGGGTCACAAATTGGGCACGCAGGCCCGTCTTACATTCGGCCCTTCCAGTCAACCATCTTTCGCACAGCAGTTGTATTTTACTAATAAAGCATGTTATGATCATATGATGATATGCATATTATGAATATTATAAAAGAACACAAAAGCATGAGTTGTAAAGTGCATGCAAAAACCCGCGCGTGCAAACATACACCCACATACACGCGCTCACCCACTCACTTACACACACAAACATACATACATACACAGATACATACAAACAAACATGCATACACACATACACACAGGCATACGTACACACAAACATACATACATAGATACAAACATACATTCATACGTAATACAGGCATACACGCATACAGTCATAAATACAGTCATGCATGGAGACACACACATGCACACACGGACACTCTCACAGAGACACACACAGACTCAGACAAAAATACAGACACACACACAGACACTTACATATAAACACACACAGGGAAACACACAACACACATATTTACATTCGTGCTCACACACTGACACACACACCACACATACGCAGACAAACATGCAGACACATACATACAGCCACATAGACACACACAAGAAAAAGAAGAAGAAGAAGATAAAGAAGAAAAACAAGAAGAAGTAACTGTTTTCAACTGCTGCACTGTAACCGTCACGTGTCTTGAAAAGGTTCTGTTAAAAAGAAAACGGCGCAACTAAAATTTATTAATAAGATTTGACGTCGAAGACGGGCAAGGTTGTGTGGCTGTTATGGGAGAAAAATGAACATGAAATTGTGGCGACAAATGACGATTTTAACGGGAAAATAGCAAGGAAACGATGAGGACTCATTGCTTGACCACATGACATGGCCCAGACAAGATTGGTGATTAGTGAAGATCAGTACAGCACTCCGGGCAGATACGCAGGTGCTCGGGTCTCCTCGGTAACTACACTAGCACAAAACGACTTTCACGTCCGTCCCCCAATTTTTGGAACTAGATTTACAACTATCAAATCTTACAGTTTTTTTTTTTGGGGGGGGGGGGGGTGGTTTCCACACCCCAATGGTTAA